AAAATAAATCCGATTTAAATAAAAAAAAAATCCGATTTAAATTTTAAAAAATCTGATTTTTTTGATTTTTTTAAAAAAATCATTGATTTTTATCCACCCTGGATTGTAATCAACCATTACACAGCTTGTGGTATATATGTTTGTGCCTTCAAATCTGGACTCCTGATGACAGCCTGGACAAGTTCATACAGTTTTCTTGGCAATGTTTACGGAAGTGATTTTCATATTTTTTCTTCCTAAGCCTGAGAGAGAATGGGTGATCCAAAGTTCATGTAGGCGGTTTCATATCTAATGACTAGAACTCAGTCTCCCAGTTTCTAGCATGATGCATTTAACCACTACACCAAACTGACTCTGTGTATAATTTATTAATTTTTTTTATAAAGCTTGTTGTGGGGGAGCATATCTAAATATCCAGAGTCCACATCCTGTATAATGAAATCCCCAAATTAAAATACTTTAACCATAAAATCCCTGCTTTTATAGTTGCCTAGGAATACAGCAAGCAGATGGCGATATTTTTCTTTATTCTATTTGTCCCATGCAAAGTAGATCATAATCCAGCACTTTTTATGACCCTAACCACCATCATATAATCTTGCATGATGACTTGGTTGTTACGGTAGTAACACTGTAGTATTAAATCCTTGAACAGATTTTAGGCAAGTACAGGTAGTCCTCAGTTAATGATCCCCTCATTCAGTGGTGCTGAACAAAGGGTAGTAACAACTGCTTCTTGGCAATCTTGCAGCGTCCCGCAATCTTGTGATTGCCATTTCTAACCTTCCGTGCTTGCTTTCTAACCTTCCCCAAAGTCAATGGGGGAGCCAGGAGGGAAGGTTGCAAGTAGCCTGGCTACTTGCCATTTCTAAGCACTGAAGTCATGCGATGTGTACTTTACAATTGCATTGCTTAGCAACAGAAATCCCGGTCCCAACTATTGCTGTTAAGCAAGGACTACCTGTATGATATTAGAGATAATAAAGGAAAGCGGTGTCAGCTCATCTCTTTTACATCTGTAAATTTTATCTTCTGTCATTTTTCAGCACCATCCAAGCTGGTTTCGCAAGAACAGCTGATGAAACTGGCCAGGAAAATGGGCAAGAACTGGAAGGAGATTGGCATTTTGTTCCTGGGTATGGAAGTGTCACGTCTGGAGCAGTTTGAAGAGGAGCATTCTAAAAACACGGTCATGCAAATTTTCTCCATGCTGTTGGACTGGAGGAACCGTGAAAAGAACGAGGCCACCGCACGCAATCTGTATAACATTCTCAACCAGAAAGGGGTAGAACTTGACATCAATGCCTATGACTTTCTTTTAAAATAAAATGCAACCGAAAAAGTTCACCCAACTCTGCAGAAGATGAGCCTCACCAGGATTCAATGTCTGCCTCACCACCTGTGGTACTTAATATTGGCATATTAAATACCAAAGTTTCTATTCAATGGGATGCCACTGTAGGAATTTTTTTTTTATAGTATCAGGAAAAACAAGGTGCTTCAGAATAAGTGCTGGTGCTTTCTTAACTCAGGTATACATTTTCCTGGGATTGCTACTGTTGTGAGCCCAGAAAAAGATAGTCCTTCTTTAAGGAAGTGACAAAAGTGCACAATGCGTGACCCCACCTGCTTTAAAGCATATTCTTCGCTTTGGATCTGAAGTGCTGCGAAGTACTAGTAATAACAGTAATTTGGGATGGGGGTTGTTGGTAACACTTCCCATACTGGACAAATTTTTAACTTCTTTCCCAAGTTTTCTTTACCTTGTTTCGTCTCTATTGCAGTAGCTCCTTTTAACAGGCCTGCAATTGTTCTTTTCTCTTTATTTTTCCTCCCTTTTTATTTTCTCTGTTCGGTGCTGAAGTTTTATTTGCTTTATATAAAATGACGAAGCAAATCTAATTCTCTGTCTTCTCCACTGTATCTGCGTCATGTTCTTGTCTTGTCGTGTCCTGACTTCTTCACTTGTATCCTCTCCCATTTCTAAAAAAAACCTATAAAAAAGATATAGATAGATAGATACGATACGATACGATACGATACATGTGACATACATACATACACATATTTTTCAGAGTATAAGAGGCACCGGAGTATAAGACCTTAGTTTTTGGGGAGGAAAATAAGAAAAAAACTGATTGGTGGGTGGATTGGCCTCCCAGAATACCTCCAATCAGCTGTTCCCAGAGGTGAATTTTAGCAACAGGTTCCTTGGTTGTGAGCTCTGTGCCTTGCTATTTTTTCTGCCTTTGACACTTCTGAAACTCTGTTTCAGAAAAAACTTTTTTTCTGCGTCTGAAAACCTCCGAAAGGCTTTTTTTCTGAAACTCTGTTTGGAGGCTTTTTTTCTGAAGCTTCTTTCAGAGGCTTTTTTTCTGAAGGACTATCTGTACTCTGTTCAATCTCCTTTCTGGTATTGGTATTGGTATTGGTATTGGTATATAGATTAACCTCTTCCGATCTGTTGGTTATTGTGTCATTCTCCAGATTTGTTAGCACAGTTTGGTTAGAACCTTTACTGATTCTTCTTTCGTTGCTTGCCATATTATTTTAGATAACAGCCTTTCAGAGGCTTTTTTCTGAAGTTTCTTTCAGAGGCTTCTTTCAGCCTCTGAAATCTCCGTTTGTGAGGCTGGGCAGGGCTACATTCGGAGATTTTTAGAGTCAGCATATTGCCCCCAACAATCTGGGTCCTCATATGTGTATATATATAGAGAGAGAGAGAGAGAGAGAGAGAGAAGATAGACAGACATGATAGATAGATAGATGATAGATAGATAGATAGATAGATAGATAGATAGATAGATAGATAGATAGATAGATAGATGATAGACAGACAGACAGACAGACAGCAGTAGCACGTAGACTTTTATATCCCTCCATAGTGCTTTATGAGAGAGATACCATCAATCAATTCACACTTCATTCACCGATGGTGTTATAAAGAAAGGAAATGAAGCATTTTGAAACCAAACCCAGTAATACTTACCTCTCTAATCACAGAGATTGCATGTCCTTTTAAATGCATGTCATTGGCTTCCCATCCCTTTCCAGTACAAACTCCTGAGGTAGGGTCAAATACTGTGCTAAGCTGGTGCAATGCTGTTTGTTCATTTGCAATTTGATGCAATCCATGATTTTATTGTGTCTGATTGTATTACCTTTTTTTTGGTCATTAAATGAATCACAAGGTCCTTAAGCAAATCCAGCTTCTCCCATTAACTTTGTTCTTGGGAAGCCCTCTAGGAATGTCATAAATAGCAATCATGTAACCCCTCCTGGATGCTGCAAATATAGGAAATAAATGCTACTTGTCAAGTACCCAAATTTTGATCATGTCATCGTGGGGATGCTGCAATGGTCGCAAGTGTAACGACTGGTCATAAGTCAAGTTTTCAGCGCTGTTGTAATTGAATGATTGTTAAACAAATGATTGTAAGTCAAGGGCTACCTGTACTCACTGCAATGCCCGTTAACTCTGGACAAAAGTAAACTAGTTATTTCAGTTTAAGGCTTAAATTTTTAGTTTAGATTGTAGTTTAAATAAATGTCCGTGCCTTGTTGGTTGTTATTTTAAAATTCACTTTAATGTTTCATTGCTTACATTATACTGACTGTAGGGCTTCTTTCTTGTTTACTGTCTTTGCTTCTGTAAATTCTAGGTCCATGTTTGTCCTATGTTAGTTTTTAAACTTTTTAAAAATCAAAAGGATCATTTAAAACGTTTTAAAAAATATAAAGGACTTAATGCTGTTTGGAGGCAGAAGCTTTACTATTTCTAATGCACCATGTATAAAATGGTGGAGTTTTATAAAAGCAGTACATTTAAATACCTAGGAAGGTAAGTAAAATGCGCATTCAGTACATAAATTCAACCTCCGTAGCCCTTAAGCTTTACATTGTTTTCATCTTTTCCTCCATTAAAAATACAAATAACTTTAGTAGGTTAAACAAGTAAAGCAAGAACCCAGGAGTCTGTGAGTTCTAATCACACCTTAGGCACAAAGCCAGATTCATGTCTTTAAGCCAGACACTCCTTCCCAGCCCCAGGAAGAAGGCAATGGCAAACTACTTTGAAAATTCTTGCCCCAAAACTATAGGGACTTTTTAAGGAGTCAGTACTTATACTCAAACGGGAAGAGAGAGAGAGAAGAATGTGGGTTAGATTTTAGTTAAATCTTACTTGAAAAGTAGAAGTTAGTTTGCAAAAAAGAAAAAAAAGAACTATCCATTTTTATCTTCTAAGGCAGGGCTTGTCCATATCATTTTCTTGGTAAAAATACAGGAGTGATTTACCATTGCCTTTCCCCCCTAATATGAATCTGAATTAATGCCATTGCCATTAAGTGACCATCTGACTCCCAACATCTTCCTACACTGTTCCTGCCAAATATAGGTGCCCGCTTGCTTTAGCTGGACAGCTGGGTGACTTTCCCATCTGCTGGGAATATATATTCTTGGCATATACTCCCAATATTCTTCACTCGTCCCTCCCAGAACAGCCCCGGTTCACGATGAAGCACCACAGTAGAAATTGGGGGATACACCATTGGGAAATCTCAGACCAGGTTAGGAGCAAATCATCATGGAGACTATGAGTCCTTAAGTCCCAGCAACGCATAAAGCAGGGCTCGAGAAGCAGAGGTGCTGTACTCTTGATCTGCTAATCCCTTAAACCACCATCAATCATTTTTCTTTCTCCAGCTGCTCCTCTTCAAGAAGAGAAGTGCTATGGAAAGGTATACCAGAAATTTATAGAAAAGCACTGAGGTGATTCAGACAGAAGAGGTGAAGCCAGAATAAATAATCACTAGGAAGTTAGAATTTCCCAAGGGCTACCAGTTCCAAACTGCAAAATTCCAAGCTACTAGCTGGCAGCAAAGAGATTGAATTGTCTGTATCTATTTGCTGCTATTTAGTGGCTGTTGGATTTTGGAGTTCACCTCTGATAATCCTAGGCTTTCCTTTTTTTTTTTTTTTTGCAGAAGGCAGTGAAGAAATTAAGATAATAACATTTGCTTTAGTTTTGGAACACACCCAGTTACAGAAATAGATAACAATGGAGGGAGGGAAGGGGGCAGGGCGCACACATTACTGTTACATCTTCATAATATGTTTGTCTGTAAAATGGTTCAGTAGCAGCAAACACACCATGCCAGTGGCACCTGCTCACGGGTCCTTCTGCATGATTGGAGAAGCGTAGCTTCCAAGCCATTTCAACAGTGGTGCAATGGTGATTGGAATTAAAGTGATGTCTGCTTTTGAACCACATACGTAACTGTTCCAATCTGTACGATACACAATCTATAGATCTCCGCCAAGCCTCTCAATTTCATCAAGGAAGAAATCTAGGTCATCTCTGGTGACTGCTGGATTGGTGACCACCTGGCGGAAAAAGTTCACTTTTTTGCCATGTGGCTGATAGCCCACCAACATGGAACCTTTCTTCATCATCCGCTCCTTAATCAGTGGAGCTACCTAATCAAGGAAAAATTAAAAAAACTTTTCAGAAACTGGTTGCACTATATGGTATAAGATATTACCCCCCACTCCTTTTATTTTCTTTTAACAACCCTGTATTCCCTTGCATCGGTGTGGAGTCCAGGCAACTGAAATTGAGCATTTACTGGCCAGGTGCCCTTCCTGTTGCCTGCGCTAAGTTTACAGCAGATATTTTCTCTGCACCCAGAGACAGAAATATCTGTCACTACCTAGGATCGAATTCACAGCCTCCTGATTGTGAGGCAAGAGCTCTACCTCTAGGCCAGTGTTTCCCAAATTTGGGAACTTTAAGAAGTGTGGACTTCAGCTCCCAGAATTCCCCATCCAGCATGGCTGGCTGTGGGATTTTGGGAGTTGAAGTCCATACATCTTGAAGTTCCCAAGTTTGGGAAACACTGCTCTAGGCCATCATGCCGCTCATATTCCCCCCCCCCTTTTAATGAAACTTTATTCCCAGACAGGCTCTAAAAATGGCTTTCAAATGTGGAATCAAATTAGGTGCAATTTTTACCAATGATGGCTATGTAGGGTTGCCCCCTTGATGTATATACTAAATGTTTATATGAAAATCTGGCAAAACCCATATATTGAAGATTCAGGTACTATTCATGACCTTTTTCCCAGATTACCTATGTGCCAGTAGATCCTAATCCAAATCAAAACCTCTTACTTGTGGCTCAGGCAACAGGCGCTCAGATTAACCAGATCAAAAATATCATTTTTGGAATTAATGGTGGATGATACCTCATAAATTAGGACACCAGAAACCCCCTGGCAAGGCTTCACAACATCACTGGCCTCTTCACCAGGGACTAGGGACGCTTGGTATGGCTTTGCCTCTGCAGTTTGTGAGTGCTTAGCATGTGTGTCCTGCACTTCTAAGCTTTGCCAGCTCTGTTATAGGTGGGCTTTACTAGCTGCTCTCTTTAGCTTTTTCACACGAGCATTGTGAAACAGGTCAATGGGCTGCATTTGCAGACGTATAGACTTACAACCACATTTGAGTCCCAAAAATTCTGTTGCTAAGCAAGGCCATCATTATGTGAGCTTTGCCCCATTTTGCGACCTTTCTTGCCACAGTTCTTAAGTGAATCACTGCAGCTGTTAAATTAGTAACGTGGTTGTTAAGTGAATCTGGCTTCCCCATTGACTTTGGTTGCCAGAAGTTTTCAAAAGGTGAGATCGCATGATCCCGGGACATTGAAACCGTCATAAATATGAACTAGTTGCCAAATATCTACATTTTGATCATGTGACCTTGGGGATGCTGCAACGCTCCTAAGTGTGGAAAAATAGCCACAAGTCACTTTTCTCAGTGCCCTTATAACTTGAAACAGTCACTAAGTGAATGGTTGTAAGTCGACAACTACCTGTATCCTTGAGTGACTGGGTGGAGCTTGCTTTAACCTGGAACTAAATTGGACTTGGAGTGCTAGCTGACAGTTAACCCCTCCTTCATGTTCCATACCACTCTAGCCCACTCCCCTTACCCCCAAATAAGCATGCTGTGGAAATAAGGTCAATGACCAATAGATGTTGTTCAGTGATGGGGTTCTACTGGTTCTACCCGGTTTGAGCGAATCAGTAGCGGCAGCGGCGGGAGGCTCCGCCCACCCACTCACCCGAACATCATCACGGCTGCTGTGCGCATGCACAGAGGTGGCACGCGCACTCACAGTTCCGAACCAGTAGCGAAGGTAAGTGAATACCACTACTGGTGTTGTTGCCTTCATCTGGATGCCCTTAGTCTATGTCCTCTTCTGTCACTGGGAAACTGAGCATTAGGCGGCAGTTCCCAACCTTGGATTTTATGTGGGTTTTTAAGGTACATCTCCAACATAACAAGCCAGAATGTCTAATTGCCAGTTGTATGAGATGATTGGACTTCTAGCCCTATAACATCAATGGATGTAAGGCTGAGAACCACTGCATCACAACACAAGTGGCCCATATTTGCCCCTTGTCTTTTTTTTCTGCAGAGCTCAGAGGCAGGAATTAACATTCCTGTATTGCATCCTGCTTGATGCTGTATGCAAGCAACAAATGTGCACATGTCCATTTATCCTGAAAGAGCTCTCCTTTTTAATGAATGCTGGATCCAGAAACGTGTGAACTCTGCTCTGACAGGTAGGCCACAGTCAGTAAGGATGGGATCTCACCATTCCTCTACTCTAATACTAAGCACAGGAGCCCCCCAGGGTTGTGTGCTAAGCCCTTTCCTTTATTCCTTGTACACACATGACTGCACCCCATTGTATAACACCAACGCAATTATTAAATTTGCGGATGACACAACAGTGGTGGGGCTCGTTAATAAGAACAATGAGTCTGCTTACAGGAAGGAAGTACAAGGGCTGACATTGTGGTGTAATGAAAATAATTTCACACTTAACACCACAAAAACTAAAGAACTTATAATTGACTTCAGGAGGAAGAGAGATGTACATCTACCATTGTACATAAATGGTGAGGAGGTGGAGAGGGTGGATAGTTTTAAATTTCTGGGCATTTATATCTCGGAGGACCTCTCATGGACTATGAATGTTAAAATGCTTGTGAAGAAGGCACAGAAGAGGCTGTACTTCCTGAGAATGCTCAGGAAGATAAATCTATCTCAGCATCTACTTCTGTCCTACTATCGCAACACCCTTGAGAGTGTCCTGACATACGGCATTCTTGCATGGTATGGGAGCAGCTCTGTAACAGACAAAAAAGCTCTACAGAGAATCATTAAAACTGCCCAGAATATCATCGGACTCCAGCTACCAGCCCTGGACAACATCTTCGAATCTCGCTGTTTGAGAAAGTTGCATAACATTCTCAGAGACTCTTCCCATCCTGCTTACAATCTTTTTGGACTGTTGCCTTCTGGCAGAAGATACAGAACAATTAAAACTCGGACCACACATTTTCCGAATAGTTTTTATCCCAGAGCTATAATTGCACTCAACAATGAACTAAAGGGCCACCATCAGTGAGCTGTTGGACAGTATTACTTGGTCTGTTGTGTGGATTTTTTGGGGGGTTAGGGGTGGAAAATTGTGGTGGGTGGGAGTGTGTTTGGGGATTGTTATGTATGTTGGACCTGGTCTTTGGGTGTTAAGTGTATTTCGTTGTACGGGTATACTGTGTATACATGTACAAGGACAATAAAGTTATTTATTTATTATTTGCACTTCTTTTACAACCCAGGAGCCCCCAGAGGGATTTTTCCTGCTCTTATTTCCTATTTCAAGGATGCCAACATTTACCTTCTCCAGTTTCACCCAGTAATCAATGCAGTCTTCCTGTCCTCGCAGACTGGGAGGTACATACCAAAAACAGAGATTGATGAACTCTGGCTGAAAAAGTTAAAAAAAAAGGAGTAAGAAACCCTAAAAGAGAAGCATGTGAAATGATATTTCTTCCCTCTAACCTTTGTACAGTAGGAAGTCACTTTCTTATGGCAGTGACACATTGTCAGTAAAGAAACTGGAATACAGAACCATAAAATGGTTTATTTGGTTTTAATCTAGCATGATGTATAAACCCAACTATGATGTAATTCATAGTTTATGTCACCTATAAGCAATTTATGATCTCCCTGTGAGTCAGTGGTGGGATTCAAAATTTTTTACTACTAGTTCTGTGGGTGTGGCTTGGTGGGCGTGACAGGAGAAGGTTACTGCAAAATCCCCATTCCCTCCCCACTCCAGGGGAAGGTTACTGCAAAATCCCCATTTCCTCCCAATCAGCTGGGACTTGGGAGGCAGAGAATAGATGGGGGCAGGGCCAGTCAGAGGTGGTATTTACCGGTTCTCCGAACTACTCAAAATTTCCGCTACCTGGTCTCCAAAACTGGTCAGAACCTGCTGAAACTCACCTCTGCTGTGAGTACCCTAAGGGGTCCAAGACTTCTCAAGATTGCATTACTGCAGGTCTGTGGCAAACTGTCAAATTACATGGCTTAACTTCTTATTTATTTATTTATTTAATTTGTATACCGCCCTTCTCCAACAGGACTCAGGGCGGTGAACAGCCATGGTAAAACATAACATATAAAATTTAAAAGCAATTTTAAAAACATTAAATAATTTTGGCTATCCAATTAAAACAACCCAGATTAAAACCAATTACAAATTAAAACCGAAGGGATGGGATCAAGCCAGCCCGGCTAGGTGAAAAAGATGTGTTTTTAGGGCCCGACGAAAAGTCCGGAAGTCTGGTAACTTCTTGCACTGTTTTAGCCAGAGCAATAAAATGGATACATTAGTCATCCAAAAAGCTAAAAATACTAGCTCCCATTTTTTAAATGGTACATCAATTCCCCACAAAAATGAAATCAAAATTCCTGCCTCCACCCCTTTAGATGATACCACTACATTAAAGGTAAAAGTAAAGGTTCCCCCGCACATGTGTGCTAGTTATTTTCAGCTCTAGGGGCGGTGCTCATCTCCGTTTCCAAGCTGAAGAGCCAGCTCTGTCCGAAAACGTCTCCATGGTCATATGGTTGGCATGACTAAACACCAAAGGCGCACGGAACGCTGTTACCTTCCCACCAAAGATGGTCCCTATTTTTCTACTTGCATTTTTTACGTGCTTTCGAACTGCTAGGTTGGCAGAAGCTGGGACAAGTAATGGGAGCTCACCCTGTTACGTGGCACTAGGGATTCGAACCGCTGAACTGCCGACCTTCTGATCAACAAGCTCAGAGTCTTAGCCACTGAGCCACTATGTCCCCTACCACTACATTACTGCCCTTTTAATATTTGCTTTTAAAAAATGAGACCCAGGCAGCCAAAAAATGTTGCAAATCCCAATTTCTGGATTCAGCCTGGTGTAGTGCTTAAGGCATCAGGCTAGAAATTGGTAAATTGTTGAGTTAGGCATAAAATCAGCTGGGTGACCTTGTGCCAGTTACTCTCTCAGTCTCTTAAGAAGAAGGCAAGGGCAAACCACTTCTGAAAATCATTCCAAGAAACTGCAGGGATTTATCCAGGCAGTTGGCAGGAGTCAACAATGATTTGAAAGCACACACAAGCACACAATCTGGCTTAGCAGTATGTGAAAACATGTTTCAAAAACCCAAAAAAGAAAACTGCTGACTTAATGGACAGTTAGAACTGAAGTGTCAGATCATGAATTGGTAGGAATCATTTAGACCAGTGGTCCCCACCAACCTTTTCAGCTCTGCAGACCAGGAACAGGAGCAGCAGCAGCGGGGGGGGGGGGGGGGGGGGGGGGGGGGCAGAGAGGTTGGTTTTGCAGACACACACACACCACTTGCACAAATAGAGCTTCACTCACTCGCCCGCTGCTTGCAGATTCCCAATGGGGATCGTTGGGAACCATTGAATCAAAACCTCCTTCAGTTCAGGACTCCAAATTGAAGCATTTGTGACCGATGGATATCCAGCTTCTGTTTTTCAGCACATCCAGAACTCACCTCTTCCCTTGTTAATCAGTGATCTGAGCACAAGGCGGGATCTTATGTGTGAGAACAGCCCATTATTTATTATGGCAGAAATACAACTTTGGACATGATAAAGTGCCCCTTTTTTCCTAGTAGCTAGAAAGTGGAAGATTGTGAGTTCTAGTTCCGCCATAGCCCTAAAAGCCCTTTGGATGACCTTGGGCCAGTCACTCACTCTCAGCCTAACCCGCTTCACAGGATTGGTTGCTATGGGGAGAATAGGAAGAGGAAGGGGTTTTTTTGGATACGTTCACTGCCTTGAGTTATTTGTAAAAATAATAAAGACGGGGTCCAAGTAAATAAATAATGTCATACAATATACATGTCAGCAGCAAAGCTAGCCCTGAAGGCTGGATAGCTCTTACCTCTATCACTAGCTGAAAGCCTTCTCTCTTCTTAATTTCATCAGCTAGATACCTAGGATAAAAAAGAAGATAATGCTAGGGAAAATGCTTGAACCACATGCCAGTCACCAGGAATGGCAGAAGAAAACTTATCCCAAACTAGAGTCTTTTCATATACCGAGTGTAAGCAAAGGCCCTATCCACTCTCTGCTCCAAGCCTTTGCTGCCGTTGGCCTTCCACATCAGCCATAACTTAAAGCAATCTACTTTGCGTCCACACTGGATGGTTTGGTCTCCCCTGTCATAAGCTATGTTGTAGAACTTGTCTGTCTGGAAGAGGTAGGTAGCTTGGGCACAGTGGCATCTCTGCAGTAGTCCCTGGGAAGAAAGAGGTATCAAAAGAGTTATCTTTTTAAAAAAAACATGAAATGATTTGTTCTACTTGACAATGCAAAATGCTCAAAGCAGAAGTTCATTTCAAAGAACTTCAAAATGAACTGGAAAACGTGATAAGAATAGGGTGATCATAGACTCAGAAACAAGAGAGTTTAAAAGAGAGGTGTGCAACATAAGATCTTGGGAGATTGTTACGCTACAATTGGTTCTAGGTAGTATCATTAATGGTGTGGGATAAGAAGTTAAGTCAGGGATGAAATCCAGCAGGTTCTGACAGGTTCTGGAGAACCAGTAGCAGAAATTTTGAGTAGTTTGGAGAACTGGCAAATACCACCTCTGGCTGGCCCCAGAGTGGGGTGGGAATGGAGATTTTGCAATATCCTTCCCCCAGGAGTGGGGAGGGAATGGGGATTTTGCAGTATCCTTCCCCTGCCACGCCCACCAAGCCATGCCCACAGAACCGGTAGTAAAAAAATTGGGATTTCACCACCGAGTTAAGTCATATTTGGAGTGTGTTATTCATTGCAGTCTCTGGTTCAGAGCAGGAACAACATGGCAGATAAAATACCTGGCAAAATTGGAAAGAGGGCGAACAGGAAGAGGGAGTTTTCAGAGGTGAACTTCTGTTATAAAGGCCTGCAAATGGAAACGGCTCTTTTTTTTTTTAATCCCAACCAAAGCATTTCTAATTTTCATGAAGAAAAATAAAAAGTTCCAAGAGATCTTAATAGACAGACAAACTCATACCGTATTAGAGTAGATCACCTTCCCCTAATAAGAAAATAGACCTTGCTAGTTTGACAGGATCTACTCTGGGTCGGACACGACTTCGCAACTAACAACAACAACTCTGCCTAAAGCAAGGAGTGGTAAAACTACAGCTGAGTATAGTCCACAATCCCACAAAGCTTTCTATTGGTCATTTATTTCACCACCTTTAGAAACTTTAGTTTGGGTTTCTAAAGTTTCAAAATATTATGACTCAGAATAGATTTAAATATTATTTTCATAGTAAATAGGTGATACCGAGCAGTTGGACAATATTAGCCTTCACCGGGAATATCAAACTTCTATATTCTGCAATATGGAGTTCCACTTTAATGCTGCTAGCTGAGGACTTATTGCAGTAATTAAGCAGAAGAAATAACATAAATCCAAAATGAGTTAGTAGTGTACAAAAAGGTCTCACTTTGACTTTTGGACAGAGAGTTGGACTAGGTACCCTGTTTCCCCCAAAATAAGGCATCCTCTGATAATAAGCCCAATCGGGCTTTTGAGCGCATGGCAATAAGGCCAAGCGCTTATTTCAGGGTTCAAAAAAATATAAGACAGGTATTTCGGGGGAAACATGGTAGCTCTGGATTTCCTCTAGCCATATTATCTGGGGGGAGAGAGAACTTGTACTATATCTTGCTTCATGTCCAGGAAGAGAAAGAGAGACTCTGAATACCTACAGAGTTATCCTGGACCAGGAAGGCAGAACACTGAAGCCCAGTCATAAGCATTTTGTGGGGATTCCAAGCCACCGAATCAGCCCTGGATGGAAAATAGAAATGAGCATGTCATAATTGAATAAACCTCGTATGCAAATAAATACTAATAACCATCTTTAGAAGACTGGTAAAAATTCATTGGTGCACCTCTTTATTTTGGATCTTTCATATATATATATAGGCAACTTTAAGCTTTGCTTTGCTGGCTAGGCAATTCTGGGAGTTGAAGTCCACCAGGCTTAAAGTTGCCAAGGTTGGAGACCCCTGGGCTATATGGTATCCAAAACTCAGAAGGAGCACCTATTCAACAAATAAAATGTATTTAAAAAACACAAGTTTTTTGAACTGCAGCTCAAGACATCGGCTACAATAGAGTAGTTAAGCTGATCAGCTTTTTGATGCAATTTTGATACAAATTGGCTTTTGATACAATTTGTTTACCTGCTAAGGTGCTATTAGACTCCTTGCGTTTAAATGGGATTCTTAACATGCACCATAGGGGTCAGACTTTGAAAAAGGCCTTGAACCAGGAACTCCCATGGCATCACTGCAATTCTGCTCCCACAGACAAGTCTCAGCAAGTCAAAGAACACATAAATGCCACTATAATCATGGTATTGTTCAGCTAAAAACAGTAATTCCCACGGTCTTAAGGACAAAGAAAGAAGAGAAGAGTGTTTCTTAACTGTTTCCTACCTTTTCTGAACAATTGCAAAAACTTTGGAGGCTGAAGTACCAATCTTTTAATGTTTTAACTTTCAAGGTCCAATGTTTTTAATGTTTTAATTGTTTTATATTGTTATCTAGTACAGGGGTTTCCATTCCAACCGTGGCCACTTTAAGCCTGGCGGACTTCAACTCCCAGAATTCCCCAGCCAGCTTTGCTTTGCTGGCTGGGGAATTTTGGGAGTTGAAGTCCACCAGGCTTAAAGTGGCCAAGGTTGGAAACCCATGATCTAGTGCATGTTGCTTGATAGTGAGCTGGGCAGCTTATACATTTAATAAATAACTAATTTTTTTTTCAGGATCTTTTCCTTTATTTTGCACAAATAATCATTATTGTAAATTATACTAGCTCTCATCTACAAATGGATTGCACTGCTTTCAGATACAAGTTGACCACCTATTGACCATAATTCCTTTTTTTTTTCAGGTTTAAAACAAACTTTATTCAATATAAAAAGATAAAAATTGTACAAAAAGTTCTTAACTCTAAAAATACTTTCAAAACTACTTACAAACAAAACTAACAAACAGGATTACCTGTCTATAATGTATAAGTATGCAAATATATACATTAACCTTTACTTCTTTTATCTTAATGACGGTGTATATTTGTTACCCTTGATTTCTTACTATATTTGACATTACCTTTTTTTCCATTGATTAACCCATTCATACCATCTGTCCCATATTTTAAAGTACTGTGAGTCTTCCTTATCGTTTAATTTTAAAGTTAATCTATCCATTTCTGCGCATATGAATATCTTTTGGATTATTTGCTGCTCTGCTGGCAACTGTTCTGATTTCCAGGATTGAGCTAGGGTTAATCTAGCCGCCGTGATTATATGTAGCGTAATGTACTTTATTTCCTTTCTACTACTTTTTTTGAGTATACCTAACAGAAAAATTTCAGGTTTTATATCTTCTTCCGTTATTTCTATTATCCAGGTTCTAATTTTTATCCAAAATTTCTTAATTTTTGGGCAAAGCCACCAGAGATGATAAAAGGCTCCCTGTATTTGTTTACATTTCCAGCATATCGGGTTAAAATTTGCATACATCTTTGCCAATCTCGCCGGGGCTAGGTACCATCTGTACCACATCTTATAATGGTTCTCTTTGTATGTTGTTGCTTTTGTTATTCTATAATTATTTTCCCATATCATTTCCCACTCTTCCAGTTGCATGTTTCTTCCAACTCCAATTTTGGGAGTTGAAGTCCGCCAGGCTTAAAGTGGCCAAGGTTGGAAACCCGTGATCTAGTGCATTGTAAACCACCCAGTTGCTTGATAGTGAGCTGGGCAGCTTATACATTTAATAAATAACTAATTAAATAAAATTTACATCTAAGTTGATTTTTTTCTTTTAGACTGAAAGAAGTCAACCTATTCATGGAGATGCAGAAGACTTTTCTTTCAAGCCAATCCCTTGGAATGAGCAGTCTGCCAACCTTACATCACAAGTACCTGGCCTCATCCACCAGCCAACCCAGCAGCCCACCTCTGGCTTTCAAATGTGCATGTGCCTGACCCAGTGCGTCATTCCAGCACATCTCTATGGTTGTCTTGTTTGCCTCTCCTTCCTCTGACTTTGCTTAGCTAGACTTTGGGCTGGATACTGACTTTCTAAAGAACTGAATTGGGTCATTAACAGAGGACTTCCAGCAGTGTAATTTACCAACATCATGCAGTTAGGAATACTTGATCTGCACCTACATGTTCACATGCTCCTAGTAGCAGGACACTAGATATCTGCAGCTGGTGAATTAAAGCAACAGGCAAAGGTATTCTTTCTGCCATTTGGGCAGCTCTGCCAGGAGAGGGAACTGTTGTCTTACTGTTTGTTCAATTGACAGGGCAAATAGCCAGTGAACATGGTCCTGTAGTTCTAATTCAGTGGGGATGAAATGACACAGAGGCCAATCAAGATCCCTCTGACTCCATAAAGACACTGACTAGAAACTACAGTATTTGTTTATACATTTGAATGACATGGTTATTTGTGGCCTGATAATATCAAGCTCAGCGTGGATTTTAAAAACCATTTTATTCGGCGTGCCACACTGAGAATTTGGAACAGCTATAAGGCAAAACTGACTCTTAAAATTCCTTTTTGCTTATCACCGAGAAATCTTTTTCAGAAGGGAAATTGATAATTAAACAAAAATGGTTGCCGTATGCTGATTCGTTGAATTTTTCTCAAGGAGAACTTAACTTAAAAATGATAACATTGGGAGGTTTTAAATGCCGCTGGTTTCCCTCTGCACATCTAATGGAAACATTTAAGGTGGATAAGAGGAATTATGAATGATAAAAGGGTAAAACTGCCATAGAGTTTTGTACAAATGATGATCAAATTCTTTCTAAGATGTACAAACTTATTAAAAACGGAGACAGGGGACGAACAAGTCCAAAGTCAAAGTCATGGCTGTATCTTTTCACAGCTCATTTCTGCAAGAAACAGTATCTACCTTTCGATCCCATCCAGAAGATGCCGATGTCTTTGGGAGAGGAGAGCACTGCCGCCCCAGGCTGCCTACAGCAGGAAAAAAAGGCCAGGTGAGTCACTCAAAAAGAAGTCCAGTCAAAAGCATGGGGATAGTGCAGTGGTGAAATCCTCTGAAGTTTGCTACCGGTTCTATGAGTCTGATACTGAGCGTGTGCTTCACGCATATGTGTATGTGAGGCGTGCCCACACAGTGTTAAAAAAGGAATATTTGAAGCCTTTCGAGTCTGCAAAGGTAGGTAGAATAGCGCGGGGGGGGAGGGGAAACCGCTGTGCCATGCGATTTAGATTAGCTAGAAAGCAGGAAATCTGACGATTTTGGCTAATATAAATTGCACGTCACTGCTGATCGTCGTCCAGCTGATCGTCAGAAATACTGGTTCACCCGAACCGGTAGCATTTTTTACTACCGGTTCAGGAGAACTGGTCTCAACCAATAGCATTTTACCCCTGGGATAGTACTACTATTGGAAATCCCAAATTAAAAATACAAGAATATAATTCAAATGGTAACAGACTAGTTAAAGGGTTAGTTTTTAAAGGCTAAAAGAATCTCAAGATAGCTTTCAAGCAGAATGTGAAAATCTGGGCTTATGCAGAATGTTCACAAACATCAAGAAAACCACTTTTCTACAAATATACCCGAATAATAAATCACACTTCACTCAGCAAGACAGCTGTCCGCTCTACCTCTGTGTGACTGAACCATTCATTGGATATTTTCTTATCTATCTCCATTGGGGAAAAATATATCTGCTGGATGAGTTGTTAAGACAGCGCACATCAACATCTCTAGAAGATTGTACTTACGTCCACATGGAACCAGAGTTTGTGTCTTGTGCACACCTCTGCAATTTCAGGCAGGGGGTCAAAAGCTCCCAGGACAGTGGTGCCACAGGTGGCATTGACAAAGAAGGGGAGCGCTCTCTGGAAGAGAAGATCAGAGGTTTCATTAGCATAAGAAGGTAAAGGTAAAGGTTCCCCTCGTACATATGTGCTAGTCGTTCCCGACTCTAGGGGGCGGTGCTCATCTCCGTTTCAAAGCTGAAGAGCCAGTGCTGTCCGAAGACATCTCCATGGTCATGTGGCCAGCATGACTAAACGCCAAAGGTGCACGGAACGCTGTTACCTTCCCACCAAAGGTGGTCCCTATTTTTCTACTTGCATTTTTTACGTGCTTTCAAACTGCTAGGTTGGCAGAAGCTGGGACAAGTAACGGGAGCTCACCCTGTTACATGGCACTAGGGATTGGAACCGCTGAACTGCCAACCTTTTGATCAACAAGCTCAGTGTCTTAGCCACTGAGCCACCACATCCCTTTATATGGCCCAGTCAATAGGATCTGACACGCGGTTGCATCTGCTTGAATTTCATTTCATTCACGTGTAGCTCTTTGATAAAGGAAGCATAAGCTGTTGCATTAGCACACTGTTTCTTCCTTTGCTGCACACCTCAGACAAAGAGTCAGAGTTTGCAAAGCCCCTATGCCCATTGGGTGTCTCTTTTAGTAGGATCACTGGTTTGGATGTGGGAAGAAAACCCGTCCTGTTACATATACAGGATGGGAGCAGCAAAGGGAAAATTTTAACCTCCCTCAAAACCCTCCACAGGCAACATACCTCTGATTTGGCCTGGTCGATCTTTTTCTCTAGATCAGCGGGGATCATTTTCCCTCTGAGGAAGAAAAGAGCAATTGAAATGACTGAGCCATTCAACAGGTCCTTTTCAACCGGTCCCTCTTGCTTAAACCACGCTGACTTCAAGTCATTCCAAGCAGAATGAAGCTGTGTGTTTCACTTTGGTAATATAGAAGGACCTTTCACTTTGAACCTACCTCTGCTGCAAATTAGATCAGAGGAAAGGATTCCGCGTCAGCCTTGTGTGAAGCATTAGGATTTTTTTTTTTAAGCACAGGAAGATTTTTTCCTCCTGAGGAAACCACTTATAATAAGATCTGTTTCATACACACTGAAATGATATGATCTAGAACAGCGGTCTCCAACCTGTGGGCCGTGAGAGGTTTGCAACTGTGGAAATGGCCGGTGAGTGCATCCTCACTTGTATGAGCAGCTCCATTTTCATGAGTGGCAGGCACGCGCGCACACTACTCATAGAAATGGAGCTGTACATGCACGCACGCACTTGTCAGCTGCTTGCGCAAACCATCCCCTCCCCCCTCCGATGGTATGCAAAGCTGGAAATGTTGGGGAACGCCTGATCTAGAAAAAACTCTCTCATATGAAACCTGCTATTTATGCAGACCAATCATGATAAAGAATGAGAAGTAGATCCAAGACTTGCCATAGATCTGCTTAGGTGCTCTTACTTGGGTGCCTTTGTTTTATGATATGTTGAAAGGTCCTATACAAAGTGATGCTTCAATCTTAGTTCTTATTATGTCCTCACTAATTGTGCCACCAGTTAGAAACTACAGCTGATGGAGAAAACACTCTCTGAAATCTTAAGGGTTAGAAACCCAAACCTACTTAAAATAAATATTCTTAGCGGGTTGAATTCCACAGATAGAAATAAACTGAACTATGTAAACATGAAACTGAAAACCCAGAGTTCAGATTTAGAGACTGTAATTTTTTTTAGACCATAATCATTGCAGGGGCGAAGGGTTCCTAAGATCGGGGGTGGAGGGGAGGGGACAATTGAACAATGGGATATGCAATCCACAGTGGTTCTGATATCTGTGTTGGGTATGGTTAGGGAGATAATCCAGATTAAATGATCCACTTATAACATCAAGACAGAACCAGGGGTGAAATTCAGCCGGTTCTATCCGGCTCGGGCAAACTGGTAGCAGTGGCTGCAGGAGGCTCCACCCACCCATGCGGATGTCATGATGTCACTTTTTTGTGACAATTTTAAGCCTCTGCGCATGCGCAGAAGGCTTTGCGCATGCATGGATGACGGCGCACGGACATTTGCGAACCGGTAAGGAAGGTAAGTGAATTTCATCCCTGGACGGAACCTTTGATTTCTCCAGCTTTATAAGGATTTCCAGTTATTAACACTCACTTTTCATCCACTGCTACAAGGTAGACATTGTCAGTGCCGATGCCCAAAAAAGCTGCTCCCTTTTGGATGGAGTAGTGGCACTAGAAAGCAGAAAAAAAGCAGAAAAATCAGCAATTTCTTCCCTTAAGAAAAACCTTCTCCCAGGACCCTGTTCTGAATCCTGGGAAGCCATTTAGAAATCAACTACTACCCAAAGAAATATCAAGTTGCATTTCTACCTAACCAACACAATCCTGACCCTGGTTCTGGGGAGAGAGCATTCCCTAGGATTATCCCCCTTATCTTCTCTAAACTTAGAGCAATAGATCACAGATTCTGACAAAGATCATGGTCTACCAGAAGATACACAGCAATACAAGGCTTCAAAATGAAGGCCATTTGGTGTTTTCACAGCTGTTATTTGCAAAATGGGAATAATTAATTTACTTTAGGCAGGTAGAGATTAACAGCAAGATTCTCTGGCAGGTGGTCCTATCTCTGGCATTCTTTTTCCAGGGGGCCCACATATTTACCAATATCCAGGCAAATCCAATTTTTTTCTTTTTTGAGGAGATAAATTAAACTTTCTTTGGAATAAATTAAAAGCAAAAAAATACCACCTCCCCTTCCAAAAACCATTAACAAAACAAATATGTTCCACTGTTGCACAAAAATATTCAGCTTTTTTCAGCACTTTGATCTCAACTGCACTCCAATAAATAAAGAAACAAACCTATATGAGGTCAGAATAAAATTAGATTTAGTTTGATTTATAAGGAAATGATACCTACAAAGATCAGAAATGTGCACATTCTGAAATTCCATGCAACACCCTATGCAAGTGACAACTGGAGTTTGAAGAAGCAAGAGAGGAAGAATATTGATACTTTTGAACTTTGGTGTTGGAGAAAACTCCTGAGAACAGTCAAGAAAACAAATCAGTGGATCATTAAAAAAATTAACCCAGAATTCTCACTCAAAGCACAAATGACCAGGTTCAAATTATCCTACTTTGGACACATTAAGCAAAGATCTAACCGCTCTAGAGAAGGCTATAATGCTGGAAAAGAAATAAGGAAACAGAAGAATGGGACAATCAGTAACAACACTCAATTACAATTATGATGAAGGTGCCATCGGGATCTTCCCAAAATGTCTGCTGTTAACAGGTCAGTCTGATCCAAATTCTGATGTACAAGTTCCAGTTTCAGTTTCTCTTAGTTGTACCCAACCTGATGCCTTCCAAATGTGCAGGACAACACGTCCCCTAATCTCCAATATGTCCACCCCAGAGGTTCTCATACAGAAGCCAGCTAAATCTTATTTTAGCATTGCTGATAAGACAATGCCTTCTTTCTTTCTGAAGGTAGCACTACTGGGTGGCCATTTGTTCCAGAGACCATTAGTGTTTTGTCTGCTCTCTCAAATCCCCAACAACAATATCTGCTGCCTGAGGCACTGCTTGTCCCCCTGCCTCAGGAGTGGGTCTAGGAAAAGCCAGTTTTGGGGGCAACAGGTCATACTTTCATTACTGATCTTCGAAAGTCACAAAGGCATGAGCAACATTGTGGCAGAATTTTTCAAAATAAACATGTTAAGTGGTATTAAGGTGGAGGGTGTGTTTTAATCATACCCCAAAACAAAACATTTTGCCACCAAATTTCAATAGCATAATCTCAGGAGGCAACCACCCCCCCCTTCCCGCTGCAAAACTAAAAGCAAATTAGGCTGGGTTAACCAAAAGCAAGTAGATTGGTTCTCTAGAGCATACGCAAGAAAACAATACCTCTTCTGATGTAAACACTGCCAGCTTTGGTATTGCCCAATGCCCCTTCTGCTTGCAGTCTGGGAAACGGTGATACCGTGCCACATTCATGGCATACATGTTGGAGATGGACCCTCCTACCAAGGAAAACAACCCAGAGAATTGTTCAATGACCCACTCATTACCATTTTAAAGTCAAATCTTAAGGGTAGCATGTAATTCCTGGATATTTTCAGGGCATCCGTGCTGGACATAATGAATGGCGGAAATTGGTTTCATTTGGATGATCCAAATTAAGGGCCTTCTCTGTGGTAGCTCCCTCCCTATGGAACCACAATTCCCTCAGAGATTCGCCCCCACATTGTTGCTTTTCCAAAAGGCCTTGAAGACATAGTTTTGTCAGAGAGCTTGGGGATCCCATTCAAAGCCAGTCAGGTAGCTTGTCTGATTCTGTTGCAGCCACCAGGGGGTGGAAGGTAAAGTGAAGGTTAAATTATGAATTTTTAACTGTGGATATGTAATGTTGTATGCCGCCCAAAAGTCACTATGTGTGTGAGTTGAATTATGCGGATTTTTAATGTTCTGTGCTGCCCAAAGTCACTATGTGAGAGTTGAGCAGCTATATACATTTGTTTAATAAATAAATGAATAATATTGGCTGCATGTCACCTCTAAAACATTTATAAACAGACACAAGCCCTTGAAAATCCCCAGGTACTAGGTTTTACACACCAGGGGAGAAGATTCCGTCGCCTTTTTCCCAGCCAACCAATTTTCGCAGTTTCTTCAGCACCACCTCCTCCATCAAGACAAATACAGGTGCAATCTCATACGTGTATCTAAAACACAAGTGGTCTTATGAGTCTCTTCTGAGAAACAATCAAAATAGCCAGCAAATTATCGGAGGGGCAATGATGGTGTTTGGTTTAGATTAGGAGTGAGAGTGGCTCGAATGCCCCCCTGCTCTGGTTTTTAGTAAAACTACCAAGACTTATCTGCTCCTTCTAACCAAGGAGGAGAGAATACTTAGACAAATTTGAAAGTGCAGGATTTTTGTAGTTTTCATTTTTATTTTTATTTTTAAATGTTGGGTCCTTTCCTTTACTCTTTTTTCTTTCTTATAGAGGTTTTTTTTTTATTTTATGATGATAAATGAAGTAAATCTGTAAATGAATATAAATCGGATAAAATCAAGGGAAGCAGACTCCCATTCTTTTCCTCTTGTCATCTGTCTCTTGCTCCACACAGTCAACACATCTGATTGTATGGAGCAGGACTAACATATCTGGGCTGCAAAAATATGAACGATTGCTAGAGGGCAGCAAGGAGACTTTTCGATACCTCTTTGTGGCCATGACTCGTAGTCATCCAGATTTCTGCAGCCTTCACCCTGGTAGCTCAAACACCTAGCAACAACAGAAGCCGTAGCAAATGAGCAACTTGGGAGGAAGAAAGTTAGCAGTTATGGACCTTAGGAGACTTCAACTACTGGGAGTAGAGTGCAGATAAATCTATAGGCCAGAAAGGGCTCTAGGTTCCAAATAGAGTCATCTTACCAATGCATATCTCTTGAGTATCATGGTGTCTTCATATTAATATTTACTCACTTGCAGAGATAGAATGTAATGATTGCTCAAAATGGAAGAAGTCTGCATTCAGCCACTACATTCATTGGCTGGTTTTGGGCCAATCACTGGCCTGATTCACATTAAGCCAAGGTTGGTTTTAACATTTTTAAGCAAGTGCATCACACTAAACTCTGGCCTGATTCACATTAATCCAAGGTTGGTTTTAACATTTTTAAGCAAGTACATCACACTAAACTCCAAGCAAAGAAGTTACATTTTGGCTTAGCTTTATCTATGAACAGAATATTTTAACTGAGCTCAAATTATTACATAGTGTAGTCATGAGGATAAAAAGAAGAGGAAAAACTATATATAACACTTAATTTTACTGTTTGCCACGAGGGGAGAAATGTTAATATAGTGATATCAAATTACTTCCCCCCCTCCCCAACTCACTATCCATTTACTAGGGAGATGCTAATCAGTTTCCACAGAGCAAATATTTCACAATTGAAGGAATTCACTCTGTTAGTCTCCCTGAATCAGAGAGAGAGAAGATTATTTATAGTATATTATTCTTATATCACAATACATTAGTGTTGCTTATAGGAATATGATCCTCTGAAAAAAATTTTCCTTTGCAAGTTTGGATCCTTTCAAAACCTTGACAAACTTATCTGATACTGCCAGAGTGAAGGACGTTAACAGAATTTGTGGATAAAGTAGTACATCGTTAAAAGTAAAGAATTTTCTTCTTCAAACTGCTTTCTAGTGGTCACACTTGTTAAAATTACAATCTCTAGTCCAAAAAAGCAGCAGTGAAATTCACCTATGCTGTAGCTGAGTCTTGGGAATTCTTTTCCTTTTCCTTTTCCGTTTTTTTTTATGCCAATATATATATGAGAAAATGGAGAACACATACTGGCTAGTGTTGAGCATCTCTGTGATCATCCGTCCAGCCAGAGCATGGGGATCAAGCCCAGAAAATAGCTGATTGCAGAAGCGTGGATGACCTGGGAGAAAACGAAGAGACATAGCAAGAGGAAAGGAAATTGTGCAAAAGGAAATAGTCTCAATGGAAGTACTTCCTATTTTCTTCACCATTACAGGTATTGATGTGATTATTGTTGCACCATGAGCAGGGGTGTCTTAATGCATAGGCCTGGTGGACACTTGACTGTGGGCCCCATGAGCATAGGGGCCCCATACTAATCTGCGTACGTTAACCCTTCAATGAACCTTGCATCATATACTGTAAATACAGCAACTGTAAGGCTTTACTGAGTATTATTGTGTTTTTCAAGCCTCGTGTATTGTTCAAATGTTTATCATGTTGATTAGTTGTTGCTGCACAGCATGTTTTTAATGTTTCAACACCGATTTTGTTGGAAGTGCCAATAAAATAAATATACGTTTAATTTTATCAACCACATTTTTGTTCCTGTGAGTAGTTGTCGTAGGGGCCCCAGTACACTGCTTTGCCCAGGGCCCATAATGCGGTTATGATGGCCCTGACCATGAGCATTTATTAAAGGCTCATTTGTATTACTGGACCTATCCATGATATTCCTTAGAGCTTTCCTGAATCCCAGATATTTGTTTACATTTCAGTCACCTTCCAATAATTGTACAAGAACTATTTTAAAATCATTTGCCTTTACCCCTAAGAAAATAACTATAGTTTGAAAAGAATCATATCAAATCCTAAGTATTTAAGTCAACCTGAAACTTAGTCTCTTGGTACATGTTACATTTCAACCCAAATTACCAGGTTCAAATGATCCTACTTGGGTACATTGCGTAAATACTGTACCTAGCTCTCTGGAGAAGTCTAAAATGCTGGGAAAAAGAAGAAAACAACGAGAAGCAAGGTGAGTGGACTCAATTATAGTAGCAATGGGTAAACCATTGGAAGACCTGAAGGACTAGATTAGGGACAGATCATCAGGGAGAAAATCTATTTATGTTGCTAAGAGCACTAACTTTATGGCACATAATCAATCACCCACTCATTATTTAAAAAAAAAGAACATCCAAAGTACAGTAAACTGGGGAATTAACTAACTCAAGATGCCAGGATAGGCAAACCAATCTCAATAACTGGACTGGAACAATCCTATATCTCCTAAGAAGTTCTGAAGAAGGAACCATACTCTCTTGCCAGGCAGAACACTCACATGTTTTCACACTGTATCTGATAACTTCCCGACAGCGTTCCAGCAACCTTTCATGTGACTCCCCGCTGTCTTTTAGATTCAGGTCCAGAATTTGCTGCAGTTCCTCAGGTTCCTTCCAAATACACACCTATCAGCAAGATAGTCAGCTCATGTCCGAAAAGCCATAGAAGGTTGTATACAAGCTGAAAATCTAACAGTGCAATCCTATATCCAGGTTATGCCTCCTGGATGACAACGGGTTGGTATAAAATTCTATATATCAGCCCAAGTCCAAATTCTGCTGCCTGAGGATGCTGCCATGTTTTCAGAAATTTAAGCTAAATGTCCCAAGCTGGAGCCCTCCCAATGTCTTAGGACGATTAATCCTTGACATTTTTAGCCAGCATTCCTGACTCACTAGGAGTCTGGGACTTATAGTTTCAATGCTTCTTGGAGACATTGGGTGGGGAAATGTTGCCCTACAGCAGGGGTCTGCAACCATAAACACTCAAAGAACCATTTGGATCCATTTCCCACAGAAAAGAAAACACCAGGAGCCACAAAACCTGGGTGGGCGTGGCCAACTCGACATCATTCAATTCCACCAGTCACATGACACCCCCCCAGCCACGCCTACCCAGCTGGTCATTAGGGCAGAGAACCAATTGTTAAAAAACACCAGGAACCACAAAACTCTTTTGACATCTCTTTCTCCCTCCCTCCCCCCCTCTCTCTGTATCTCTCTGTCTCTGCCCTGATTGCTTCTCCATCTCCCCGCCGTCGCCCTTACCTTCTCAGGCCAGATGAGGAATGACTGGGAGGGGAGGACGAGGGGCGGGGCCAGCCAGTAGTGGGATCACTCGACAGGGAGCCACAACAGAAGGCCCAAAGAGCCACATGTGGCTCCAAAGCCGCAGGTTACTGACACCCACCCTACAGTAATAAACTGGGTGTTGGGAGGGGAACTAGAAAAATTAAGAGTGGATTATACCAAATTTACTCAATGCAAACCATCTGGGATTAGGAATTGGTGATTTTTCTGCTGAGGGACTACTTTGTTAGCTTGCAAATAAAATTCAGTTTGGGTACCTGGCCCAAGCCATTGCTTAAAGTATATCGGGTGGACATCCCAGCTCAAGGAAACTTAGAATGAAAATCAATATACCTTACCTTTTCAGAGGCATCCATCCCTTTTCGAATTCCTTCTTCAAGCATGATCTGGAAGGCTTCCTGCAGGAACTTCTCACCAGCTACCCGATCCAAGCCAGGAGATGACAAAGAATTTTCTGCTGCCATTGTCAAGCAGACCTCCTCCTATAACAGGCCAGACATCAGGAACATGAATTCAAATAAGATCCTGAAGGCAAATCCACTACAATGTTTCCATACTGGCATGGTTCGTATCTCCAGAAAAAGAATGTTACAAAATGCAGTCATTGTAACTAGGATCATATCAATTTCCAACTAGTGACACTCAGTTCTTTGAGCTTGACACCGGGACAATAGAGGTACTTGTATTTTTTTCCAGCACCCTTTACAGTATAACGTTTATGCTAACATAGAGATGTAGCCATCCCTGCTGCATTCATACATTTAATAGCATGAGGGATACAACTGTAGTTCATGAGCAGCTAACCTTCAATGAACTTTTTTACTTTACGGACAATGGCAAAGGCAGCAATTCATACTGTGTAGGAAAAGGCAATGGTAAACCGCTCCTGTATTTTTATCAAGAAAACCACATGATTAGATTAGTCTTTAGAAGAGCATATGACGGCCGTGGCCAGGGGGGCCTTTTATCAGGTTCGCCTGATCCGCCAGTTGCAGCCCTTTCTGGACCAGGACGCCTTGCGCACGGTCACTCATGCCCTTGTCACCTCCCAGCTGGACTATTGTAATGCTCTCTACATGGGGCTCCCCTTGAAGAGCACTCGGAGGCTCCAACTGGTCCAGAATGCGGCCGCGCGGGTGGTTATGGGTGCAACTCGTTGTGCCCGCGTGACACCCCTCCTGCGCAAGCTGCACTGGCTCCCAGTGGTCTTCCGGGTGCGATTCAAGGTGTTGGTTACCACTTTCAAAGCGCTCCATGGCATAGGACCCGGGTACCTTCGAGACCGTCTTCTGCCACCAATAGCCTCCCACCGACCAGTCCGTTCCCACAGAGAGGGTCTCCTCAGGGTGCCATCAGCCAAGTTATGTCGGCTGGCGACACCCAGGGGGAGGGCCTTCTCTGTGGGAGCCCCAGCCCTGTGGAATGAACTGCCCCCGGAAGTGCGTAAGATCTCCGACCTCCGGGTGTTTCGCTGCGCACTGAAGACCCTGTTGTTCCGCCAGGCAGGGCTATCAACATAATAATTTTAAATTGGGGTATTTTAAATTTTTGGGGTTTTAAATCGGCCAAATCTATTTAATTATTTTAATTTTTAATCATTGTTGTGTCCTGTGTTTTTAAATTGGCTGTACACCGCCCTGAGTCCTTCGGGAGAAGGGCAGTATAGAAATAAAATTATTATTGTTGTTGTTGTTGTTGTTATTATTATTATTATTATTATTATTATTATTATTATTATTAAATATAAAATGATTGACAAGAATCTTGAAAGATCAAGTTAGGGACAAATCATTATGCAGGAAATTTATTGTATGTGGTCACTAAGAGTTGACAACAACTTCATAATGATGGCTCATAATCCATCAAGTCAATTTTTGGCACCGAGGTTCTCATGACAACAGTGATAAATGGGGCAGCTGCTAGATATAAATATGCATTTATGACCAAACAAAGGTATATTATAGAGCAAGGGTGTCAAACCTGATCGCATTGTGGGCCGTATTGTAACATATCGGGATGTTTTTTGCCTTTGCGGAGCCAGAGTAGGCATGGCCTGCGCAGGCTGTATCCGGCCCGCGAGCCGCCACTTTGACAGGCCTGTTATAGAGAGACCCATTCTTATGCATATTAAGTAGGCTCATACATTGTGATAAGCCAGGTTTGTTAATCATGGCTTATTGAATTAAATTCATGGTGATTTATAGGTATGCAGATCTGGATTTGCAGATCAGGCAGAGTCAATCATATATGAGACATTCATGGATGCATTCAGTTACTAATCTATTTCCCCCCATCTTAAGCCATTTCCATTAGCAAGGAGATATAATACCCTCAAACACTGGATAGCCTTAGAAATTCCGAGCTAAACCCGAATCAATAAGGGAAATTCTTTGGCATGTTGGAAGTGTGAGGTGGCTCTGGGGAACTTCTGGTGGGAAGGCAAAAAAATATTGAAGTCTGATAAAGAGTTGGTTGGAAGAAATTTTGTTAATAAACATAGAAGTCAAACCGGAATTTTTCCTTTTGGGAATGACAGAGGGCAAATACAAGAAAGACATAAATTATCTACTACTACATATATTTACAGCGGCACGGATAGCCTTTGTGCAGAAGTGGAAAGCGAAAGATACCCCAACTGAAGAGGAAATACTACTAAAAATTTTCAACTGCGCAGAAATGGATAAATTCATCTTGGAATTCAAGGATAAAAGCGAAACATTGTACTATAAAATCTGGGCAAAATTCTATGAATGGTTAGATAAAAGGAGAATAGCCGAGACAAATGTGTAGTGTTAGACTAGAATTATATACGTTATTAGAGATAGATATGTATGTGAATTGTATAGATAGGTATATGTAGGTATAGATATGTATAATAATTGTATAGGAATAAGGTATAAATTACTATTATTATACTATGTTTAAATAACGTATAAGGTGCAAGGAATATATTATTATATTACCATTAGTACATTATGTATTAGTTTAAAGTGTTTTTTGGGACTAGTGATGTCATATCTATATCCAATGTTTTTAATTTTGAACTACTAATAAAACACTTTTTTAAAAAAAGAAAAGAAATTCTGTGCTAAACCAAATCCATATTCCTTTTAAATTACATGTACTAAACAGATTTGCATAAATGCTATCTTACGTTACTGCTTCATAGTTCATGAGAGCAGACAAAACTATATAAACAATGGGTATATGATAAGATGAAAGGATCATGCGCGTAAAGATTAAAGAAGAGTCATACAAGCTAAGAGCTTTTGTGGTTTTAATTTAGACAGACTCTTTAAAGGACACTGAACTTTTGATGAGTAAATTTTAAAAAATTGGGCTACTAGCAGGTTTCAAGATTAATAAACAGAAGACAAATATATTAATAAAAATACAAAGATAAAATATCAAACAGAATTGAATGTATAAAACAAATCTTAAAATTGAGAAAGTAAAACATTTGGGTTGTTTTAGTATCATTTTACTTAAGTAATAAGTAAAAATAAATTGTTAATTGTGAGGTATTAGAATTGTCTCAAAGAGACTAAAATGAAATCAAGAAAAAGAAGGTAACAGAAGGCTATTCTTGTCAATGGATGTCTTATGTACAATTAACAGAAAGCTTTAAACTGGTTTTAAAACCAGTTTGTTCATTTTGAACAAAGACCAAGTCTGAAACAGAATTATATACTGATGAGGAAATGTTATTGCTAAAATGTATGAGCTTGTGCTGAAATGTGGGACAAAATAAGGAGTCAAAGAATGTATGATAAAATGGATAAACTCATTGGTTTTGATATACAAATGAACCAATGGAAAAATATGTAGTTGAAAGCATAATGTACATTATGTGCTAGTCATCTGGAATATTTTTATAAAATGATTGTCATATGTCACCAGAGAAATTGTCTAGATCTAGAATGTATAAAGGCACTTCAAATTTATGTTGGAAATGAAAACAGTAATAAGGGACATTTTATCATGCTTGGTAGATTTGTAAAAAAGCAAAAATAAAAGGGGGGGGGGTTGGATACTGATTCAGAGGATTTTAAAGATTAATATATAATTGAGATCAGGAGTCTGCCTCCTGAGACTGATGGATAAAGACTTGGGGGGAAAAGTCATGGTACTTTGATTCTGTATACGATAACTGCATATTGCATCTTATAATCAGTGAAAGATTCATTGCAAATCATTTTAGGTTCTCAATCTGTAAAACAGCATCATCTGCATTTAAAAAAACCTACGGTACATTCTTACTTTCAACCAACAGACATCACCACAAGCACTCACTACACATTAAGACCCCATAGTTTTGGGGGAAAATAACAACCTTCTTGAAATTATTAGACACTGATGAAATCTTCACAACAAGCCTAGTAATTTTTCCATCTGCAAACCACATCCATGTTTTAAAGATTTTTTGTAATTCAATAACCACTTCTGCAGATTTCCAATTTTTCAACTTTGAAAACCCATCTTCCCAGCACTGAAATTTTTAAAAATGCAAGACTGAAACATGTTAGACTGAAGTTCAAAGAAATTTCAGATGTCCTAGTGTATAACAGTATAACACAACTGAAAACACGCAGCCCATACCACCTCACCTTCTCTTGTTGAATGGGAGTCAGGTGTGCTGCCTCTCTCTTTCTCCGTCCCAGGAAGATTCCACTGCACCTTACAGATGAATTGTTTCAAAAGGCAGAGGGATGAGCTCCCACTTCTTCAGCTGGTCACAACCTCTGCTAACTCTATTTTCAGCAAAGGAAACTCTGCTCAGCCTGCACCAACATTATTTTGTAGGAGTTTTACTCTCCACATTAGAGGAAGGAAAGAACATAACGTCCAATTGCTATAGTTACCTGCCCAATCCTGTACAGATTCCCACTGCTTTCAGGGACAAAGTACAAAGGGAGTGACCACATAACCAGCAAGTATCATTATATATTGTGGGAGTAAAAATATTTGCCCTCTGGATTGCTTGCTACGCCAGGGTGGTGCAGGGGTTAGAATGCAGTACTGCAGGCTACTTCTGCTGATCATTTGCTGCCAGCAGTTTGGCAGTTCAGGTCTCACCGGCTCAAGGTTGACTCAGCCTTCCATCCTTCCGAGGTCGGTCAAATGAGGACCCAGATTGTTGGAGGCAACATGCCAACTCTGTAAACTGCTTAGAGAGGGCTGTAAAGCACTGTGAAGCGGTATATAAGTGCTATTGCTATTGCTATTGCTAGCTTTGCCCACAGAGTTGTTTTACCCTTAAAAAAGTAAGAGATGGGATGAGGATACCTTGGGATGCCAAAAGGTGCCTTCATAGCTGTTTGTGTCAAAAAGTAACATCAATTACATCCCAGTGATTCTACATTTCTACTCCTACTAAATATATGTATTTTATGTGTGCCTGTACACAGAAGCCCGAAGAGTTGATTTGGAGACCTCAATTTGCATACAGGAAATATCATGATTGCAGATATAAATGCACGCCTGCGTGCAGACACCTGTCCAAAGAACTCCTTTCTTACCTCCCAGCAATAAAACATTGTACAGATATAAATTCCTCTGGAAAATATTTGTGCTATTTTGCGACAATGAACAAAGAGACCTGCAAACTTAGGGATTCTACCCATCTGGTTTGATATATTTGCAATTTGAATTCTGCATCATCTGGCCACCAGATAATTTGTTGATTTGTTTGTCTTAATTTGATTATTCAAAATTATTCATTTGCTCATACAGGCAGTGCTCAACGCATCACTGTAACTGACCCTGCAATTATGGTCATGTTGCGACGCTTAGTAAGCAGGTCATCATACCTGATTTTACCTTTTTTGCGGCAGTTGTTAAAGTAACGCGGCAGTTGTTAGCAAACACCATGGTTATTAAGCAAATGCAGTGGTCATTAAACAAGCCCATTTTTCGCTAGAAACCTGAAGTAAATGCCTGTTTCCAGCAAAACCAGCATAAATCACGGTCATAGATTGTGGATGCTATAAATGGTTGTAAATGTTAGATGGCTGCCGAGGGCCCAAATTGTGATCATGTGACCACATTGGTGAGGGGTGGGGGAAATAAAGCCGAGGTCCATTGTAACTTCAAACTGTTGTTAAACAATCATTCCTAATGATAATATTTATAGCTCAGGGTTGAAATCCAGCCTTGCCGGATGGGATTTTCAAGCTATCAGAAAGGTTGCAATTCCAAACCCTTTTTCACCTAAAGACAATGGAAGGGTACTCAGTGGCAAATCTTCACACATGAGGGGTCCAACAAGCAATTCCTGGTCATGAAAAGATGTAATTCCTACAGTAGCTGAACTGATCATGATCCCAATCCACACAAGTATTGCTCCTTTGTGGACAAAAGAAATCTTCACATTTCATAACGCCAGAGTTTGAGTGGTCAGCAAGAAATAATGCAGGGTGACATAATGCAGGGTGACCACGGATAGGGGAGCAGGATGGACGAAATAAGTTGGATACTTTCCTTTACTACCGTGTTTCCCCGAAAATAAGACTGTCTTATATTTTTTGAACCCCGAAATAAGCGCTTGGCCTTATTTTCGGGGAGGTCTTATTATTTTGGGGCATGTGGAGCAAGATGGGGCTCCTCTTGCTGTCTTACCTGATTTCCAGCTCTACATTTAAATATTTTAGGGGAGGCTTATTTTCGGGGGGAGGCTTATTTTAGCGCATGTGCTCAAAAGCCTGATTGGGCTTATTATCAGGGGATGTCTTATTTTCGGGGAAACAGGGCAGGGGTGAAATGCACCCGATCTGGTAGCGATGGAGGCGGGTGGTTCGGAGAACCGGTAGCAAAAATCCCTGCCCCCTCCATACCCAGCTGAGCTGCACAATCATCAGAGGCTTTTTTTTTTACTTTTAAAAGCATTTTTTCTACAACCTCTTTGGCCAAAAAAATGCTTTTAAAAGAAAAAAAAAGCCTCTGATGATCGCGCGGCTCAGCCGGGATCATCAGAGGCTTTTAAAAGCATTTTTTCTACAACCTCTGAAGAGGTTGTAGAAAAAATGCTTTTAAAAACCTCTGATGATCCCAGCTGAGTTGCCTGATCGTCAGAGGCATTTAAAAGAAAAAAAGCCTCTGCCGATCAGGCAACTCAGCTGGGATCTTCAGAGCCTTTTGAAAGCATTTTTTTACAACCTCTTCGCTGAAGAGGTTGTAGAAAAAATGCTTTTAAAAGTAAACAAAAAACAAAAAATTGGCCATGCCCACCGTCACATTACCCCCCCAAGCCACGCCCACAGAACTGGTAGTAACAAATTTTAGATTTCACCACTGAGACAGGGTAGTGGTATGTCAAACCTTTATTTTCCAAGGAAGACATTTCCAAATGGATGCTTTCTTTTTAAATATTTAGCAACAAGCCAAGTAAAGCTGTATATTTCCACATGCACTTGGTACATTTACTCACCAAGTTTAAAAAAAAATCTTACTTTCCAGTAACTGCACTCTGCAATAGATCCTTGTCTGGCTTTGTTTGACCTCCTGTTTGAATGGTTTGCTTTGGGCAAACCACTGTTAAGTATTAATATGCATATGGTTTTGTCATTTTAGCATGTTTTCAACATTGTTGGAAAGAACAGGATGAGTGAGTGCACACTGAGATAAGTGTGTCCTCAAACACCTCCTCTTGCACTGCAGAGGGGAAGATAAGGAGGAATGGAGACCCTGTCCTTCAGGTGTGTCGTCTTGACACTCAGAACCTCCTGACTTCTTAGAAAACCTCCAAACAACTGTTCTTCTGTGAAAAGTGAAATAAACTGAACTATTCTTTTTCCAAAACTCTTCTAAGCAATCAACTTTGTGAGTCATGGCACAGTTTGTCCTCAGCTTTGTTGACTTCAAAGTTATAAAAGTACTTATTTTTCACGCTTACCGTTATCATTTAACTGGTCAAGCATAATATCAAACTCAGTAGCAAATCTTTTCCCTCAGAAGACTTTTTCTCGATGTCTGACACAAAGTGCTATTGAATCTGTAGAAAACCCTTGAATCTGTAGAAAACTACAGTGTCTTTGTGGAAAAAAATAATGTTTCATTGGTGATCTCCATCCCTGTCCACAGGGGCAGCAGGGCCAACTGCTAAATGCCCTCATTCGCAGTTTGGTCTAGTGGTTAAGGCACCAGCGGGAGTAGAAAGCGGGAGTGAGTTCAAATCCTACCTTAGCCATGAAAGCCAGCTGGGTGACTTTGGGCCAGTCCCTCTCTCTCAGCCCAACCCAGGGGTGTAATCCAGCAGGTTCTGACAGGTTCTGGAGAACCGGTAGCAGAAATTTTGAGTAGTTCAGAGAACCGGCAGTGGAAATTTTGAGTAGTTCGGAGAACCAACAAATACCACCTCTGGCTGGCCCAAGAGTGGGGTGGGAATGGAGATTTTGCAGTATCCTTCCCCTGCCACACCCACCAAGCCACACACCCACCAAGCTACACCCACCAAGCCATGCCCTAACCCTAACCCACCTACGCCCACAGAACCAGTAATAAAAAAAATTGGATTTCACCGCTGGCCCAACCCATTTCACAGGGTTGTTGTTGTGGGGAAAATAGGAGTAAGAAGGAATATTAGGTATATTTGCCACCTTGAGTTATTTGTAAAAATAACAAAGGCAGGACACAAACAAACAAACAAACAAAAATGGAGAGCATACTGAGGAAAGAAACTGGTGGAGTCTCTTGGCTTTGTTTCACTCCCCTTCCTGCAAATATCACCAAGTGGCAAGAAAACTTTAAAAAGGAGATAATTCCAGATTCACTGACAGTTGTTAAATGGAGGGCAGGCAGAGGGGAGCATTACACTATAAAGAAGTTTCCCACCTGCTCCCCTCCCATCAGTTCTTAGCTGTTAATCTGCCAGTTGCTGGTTGGGCTGATGCTGATCCTTCTTTGTAAGGCAGGCCTCTGATCCGGAGATTGGCTCAGTGACTGGGCAAGAATCACACCAGTGAGATGAGCAGATATACAAATTGAGTAAATAAATACCGATATATAAATAGTTTGAAAGATCCCAGCTGTATCAAAGTTGGGCGGATCAAAGATTGGTGAAGCACATCAGTTGATACCCACAGTAAAATTGCTGCCACTTTTTGCTTGTTGAAGAGAAAAACACCACTTGAACCCAGAAACGAAAAGAGAAAGTTAAGTTGATTTAACAGCAGTTTAATTTATATTTATCTTGGTAACTTCCTCTTGCACATCAAAATAAAGCAAGTGGTGCCAGATTCTTCCCCATTGCTGCAGCCTTTAGCAATTTGAACAAAAAAAGCAAAATTATGGAAAAACACTGATGTTTCAGGGAAATGTCTAGCATTAAATGCAGCTCATTTAATATAATGAAATGTTTGTCTAGGGAATATCATAAGCAATAATTAAATGGTGATAAAAGCAAAGAGACTATCAAGCTTGTGTATTTGCCTTGTTTTCTAGGCCAAGGGTTCCCAAATTGGGAGGCATGTGCTTCAGGAAGTCATGAAGAAATTTAGGGGATCATGATGAAATTTGAAGAGGCAGAGTAGAACGATGGCTTTTTGATGTGAAGGTGTGCAAAATCAGCCAGTGGAGAAACCATGGTATACTATAAACATCTAGTTTTTAAAATGGGAAGCCTTTGATAACATTGATCATGGTATATACATACACGTAACATGCATACATAAAATTTTATAATGGTCTTTGACCAGCATTCAAAGTAAAAGGAAGCGAATTATCACACAATAAAACAATAAACAATATCTAAATCAGAGCTTTGCATGGCAAAGGTATTTTGCTACCTGAAATGTAAGTGAGGGGTTAACATCCCTTAGAAGATAACATATATAATATTTATCTGAATAGCCCTCAAGTTTGGAAATAATTGGGGATTACAAAAAAATTCTTGAAATGTCACAATTATGATAGCATAAAAAGACACGTGTTTCTTCCTCTACCTCCCTAAAGCCACAAAGGCTGCAAGGTCTTTGCAGATTTTTTAAAAACTTTGAAATCTATTCCACTATGAGTGCAGAAGGAAAAGGCATTAAAACAGGGTATAGATAAAGCCCATCTATATTTACTCAGAGTTCAATTGTGCAAATACTTTGCAATAAATGGTTTATGGTCTACTATTTGGCAATAAACTTCATAAGCATTGGGATTCTGATGTTTGATATTGCCAATTTGTTCCTTAACTGTTCATTTGATTTGCACAAATATATGTGACTAGGAGAAAGGCTACAGAGAGTAAGTTTGATATCAGTGAGACTTGTAGCTGTCTATCAACAGCAATGGTAATAATTCTGCCTGTAGAATTAATCATAATTCTGAGTCATAAGATTAGAATGCTAATCCAGGCGTTGACTTTAACACTTGGAACTTCAGCTTCAAGCCTCAGGGATGCATTAGGGACACAGCAAGTTGCTTCATACCTACAGTAAATAAAACAAAGGGAGGAGAATGGCATCATCTGCATAAAATAAGACTGGAAGATGCCCATCAGTTAATTTGAGCCTATCAGTGTCAACTCTTTGAAGAGTTTTAACTAGGGAGTTAATAAATACTGTAGATTAAAAACTAGTGAGAGTACAATGAATGCTTGCTTCACCCTCTCAGATGCCTGAATAAAATCAGAAAGATCCTTTGCCAAGTCACATCTTACCCTAAGACCATTTTTTCCTATAAATTAATAATAAGACAAATTTATCTATAGATAACCTAGACCAGTCCAGATGTCATTATTAACTGGACATTATCAGCTGTACTTTGAAATCAATAAAAGCTGCATATAAAGTCAGGTCGAGTGATCTGGATATTTTTCCAGCAAATGTAACTCTAGGCAGTGGTCTCTGGTGGACTGTCCTGTTGGAACCTCATTTGCTCAATATCAATTATTCCTCCATTTACCACCTCATATGGAAATTTGATCAATAGATTAAAACCTGGGGTACTGTTTGCTGATGGTGTTCAAAGGGCTAACTGATCCATAGTTGGCTGGGTCATTCCTGCCACTCTTTTAAAATAGGGGAACAATTGTTGCTACTCTCTGCACCTCAGTTATCTGAGACCTTAGCTGTAGGATTAAAATGTGAGAACCGGAAGGCCAGCACTGGGCCCTACCAGTTAGAGTTTTGGACTTGATTAACTTGGCTGGAATGCAGTCACTCCCTGAGGAGAGGGCTTTATCTCACTTAAGTTGCTTAATAATCTTTTTTAACCCTTGGCATGTGACCTGAGCCATTGAGGTAAAGCGGATAAAGGCACATCCATCACAGAGTCTCCCTTACAAAAGTTTGGCATCTGGCTATAACAGCACAAATGTACATCAAACATTTTATTATCTTGAGGGTCAGATAGGTGTAAATCAAAGGTGGGTTTCAGCAGGTTCTGACCAATTCTGGAGAACCGATAGCGGAAATTTTAAGTAGTTCGGAGAACCGGTAGTAAAAATTCTGACTGGCCCCACCCCCATCTATTCTTTGCCTCCCAAGTCCCAACTGATTGGGAGGAAATGGGGATTTTGCAGTATCCTTCCCCCGGAGTGGGGTGGGAATGGAGATTTTATAGTCTCCCTCCACTGCCACACCCACCAAGCCATGCCCACCAAGCCATGCCACGCCCAAGCCACACCCACAGAACCAGTAGTAAAAAATTTTGAAACCCACCACTGGTGTAAATATGACCTGAACAAATAAAGAATCAGAGTGCAGGTAGTCCTTGACTTATACCCTTTCATTTAGTGACCATTCAAATTTACAATAGCACTGATAAAAAATGACTTATGGCATTTTTTCACACTTATGACTGTTGCAGCAGCCCCATGGTCACATGATCAAAATTCAGACACTTGGCAACTGGCATGTATTTATGAAGGTTGCAATGTCTCAGGCTCAGGTGATCCCCTTTTATGATCTTCTGGCAAGCAAAGTCAACAGGGAAGCCAGATTCACTTAACAACCGTGTTACTAACTGCAGTGATTCACTTAACAACTGTGGCAAGAAAGATCATAAAATGGAGCAAAACTCACTTAACAACTATCTTGCTTCGTCATGGAAACTTTGGGCTCAGTTGTGGTTGTAAATCGAGGACCACTTGTATCCCGCTTCTTCCACTGAAATTATTGGGTCATTCCATTGGACTGTGTTGAAACTTACCCACCATTTGGCAGTTTAAATAAGCCTTAATTTGATTCCTGATTGGGCCCTGGATAAATTTATAAGTGAAAGTTAAAGGGAGGCGATTACCTCCAGACCTGGGAACTATGCCAAGTACTTAAGTCATGGAGCCAATTTCTAGAAATTATTAAATGCTCCGCAGTACATCATCTTTGATCTGACCAAAATGTGCACCTCTCAGGAAAATTACTTGTAATGGAATCATTTAGTATTTGTAAGTTAAACCTATTTAAAATATGTGCCAGCTTTAAACCAGCTAAATTCCATTTTGTAACCTTGAAGGATCTGGATATAAACCGTGGTTCAATAATTTATTCAGGAGGATTAGCCTTATAGATCTTCATCGTTGCAACCAATTTTTGCATTAAAATCCGCATTAATTAAGATATATACAGAAAGGAATTTATTCAGGCAAAGAGCAAGAGAAGATAGGCAGATTCCAACTTTGGTTGATCTAACAGTAGAGCTGGGAGGGAAGAGGATAAAAATTGGTGCACAGTCAGCAGAATTGGTCAAAAATTAACAAGGGAGATATTGTTATATATAGTGCCAATTTGCGGCTTACTCCAATTGGCTTGGTGGGCTCAGTTACCAGTGAAAAACGGGTGCCTTGGAAGCCATTTTTTTTTTTTTAACCTGTTTTCAAAAACAGATGCTGGGACAAGATTCGGGGTGGAATTTCATGCTTAAAAATGGCATTTCTTGCTGTTTTTAAAAATCAAGCGTTTTTGGTGCCTGCAGAGGAAAAATTGTGATGCCGCGGTCAGAAAAATGGGTGCCTTGGAAGCCAATTTTTTTTTTTTGAACCTGAATGCAAAAACGGATGCTGGGACAAGATTCTGAAAGGGTTTGAAAACCTGCCCTTTTCTCCTGATACTGGAAGTGGGATGTTAGTAAAATCTGAAATATGCATGTTTGTTTACTTAAGGGTCGTTGACTAGATGTCTCTTTTAAAAATGGGCTCTCTGAAAAAGATAATGCAAACCATATTCTTGTTTAAAAATTGGCAAAGGTTAAAACTTTTCACCAATCAAAACAACTATAGTTGAGAACTGACTACTTTTGTTCAAATATGGAAAGATGTGTAGGGTTCATAAAGTTCTAAAATTGGTAGCTAATGATCTATCTTAGATACATTTTTATAAGTAAGATCTCAAAATCGATTCAATTATATCGTGGGGCATACGGTGAAATAACTATCTTTTGATATTTAATAAAAAAAATAAAAGAACTACAGGAAACACATACATGCTTGCTTGTGTGTCTTTTTAATTTGAGCATTTTGTTAAAAGGGAGGGTTGCCTTTTGAATGAGAATTAGGAGGGAATGCTGTATTTCTTTTTCCAAATAATAACATTGTTGAATTGCTTTTCTTTTTTAAAAAACAACAACAACGAATAAAGACACCACAAATGAAACCCAGAAAGGGTTAAGAAAAATAAGAAAATCCCAGAAAGGATAAGAAAAATACAGAGAGAATGCAATGTGCAAGGAGGAGTGTTTCTAAAAACAAGGAATTTAAAAAAACAAAAAGAAGTCTGAGAATCCCTGATCTAGGCTGCGATAATACCGCAAAGGGGAAAAAAAAAAGCACTTTCCTAGTCAAAACCTTTTTGTTTTGTTTTTTGAGGCTGCCATCCCTGATCAGGTTGGGACTACAACTCCTAACATTCGAGCTACGCGAGGCCAACCCACACAATCTTTTCTTCTTACCAAAGGGGGGGGGGGCAGTTGAAGGAGGGGGGGGGGGGGGGGGGGGGGGGGGGGGAAGGGAGGGGGCGGGGATCCCTCGCAAGACCTACCAGGAAGTCGTCAGGCGCGCGAGCGTGCGCAAAGCCACCGGAAACCCCGCAGAAGTGTGTACCGGGTTCCGATGTTTCCGCTTCCAGGGCGGCGGTGGGGAGGGGGGGACGGCAGCGGTGGGAATAGCAGCAGCAGCAGCAGCAGCAACCGTGGCGGTGTTTCGCTTTGGTGTCTCCCCGGGAGAGGGGAGAGCCGGCACGCAGGGAATTTGAACTCAGGTGCGGGGGCTGGGTGAGGCTGCGCGCGCGGCCGAGCGAGCAGGCGGGGCGGCGGGGGGTGGGAGGGCGTCCCCTGGGAGGGGCGCGCGCACGCCTTAGCGCTCGCGGGGAGAGGGAGGGGGTGGGTACGACCGCCGCCCGCTCATTGTCCGGCCGGGCGGGGGCAGGTGGGGGGGGTTGGGGAAAGCGGGCATTTGTCCTCGCGCGTCGCGCGAGGCGGTGCGTGCTCGTCCACGCGCCCTCCGGGCTGAGGAACCTTTCTTCGCTCGCTCTGCCGGGGTTCGTCCGCGTCACCTGCTCGGCCGCCTTGGCTGCCTGTTTGCAGGGACCGGGAACACCTTGCAAGACAGGTGTTTTTAACGATCGAGACGGAGCAATGGAGCCCAGGTCTCTCCGATCCTTCCCGCCGACTCACTCTTAACCCTCATCGGGGCTGCCCTTGAGTGAAGCGGTTTTTAAATGAGGCTGCCAAGCAAAGCAAGCCAGCACCGAGCTTTTCTCCTTTGCGGTGCGAATGGTGTAATTGGATGCAGTAACAGTTGGAAGGGACCTTGGAGGTCATCTAGTCCAACCTCCCTGCTCACGCAAGAGACCTGTTAAAAGAAATCATGCTCCATTTGAAATAATGGCCTGATGGTCTTTGTCCGGTTCTCATCAGCTAAAACTTTCTGCAGGGGTTCCACCTTGACCTCCCTGGAGCCAAAGGGTCGTGAAAGTAACCGTTTAATCACCAACAGGTGATTTCAAGTTGACCCGTGTCCTTAAAAGATTTCAGTCTGAATCGTGACATTCGTTCATGGAGGTTGCAGTAAAAAATTGTTTAGGATGGATAAACGCTAGTCGTTTTCCACAGTTATGCAGGCTCCTCTTGGAGGAGATAACCTGGTATTAAAATATTCTTAATGTGGGGGAAAGGTTGACGTTGATCCTTTTCGGAACAAAAAGGACCCAAAATACAAACTTAAGGTTTTTGTGAACATGGATGTCCATGCTGTGCAGTGTATATTTAAAGGGTCAAGGATTCTCAATATTCCAATCTATTGAAAAATGAAGGAAAGGTTTTAAATACGGTAGGAAATAAGAATTTGTTTTGTGTCATAGGTTTTAATGTAGTTAAGTCAGAGGTCCTTGCTGTTGTATTTTTCAGCTTTATTGCAATTATTGACATGGAAAATCATACGGGCTTTTTCATACCCAACCCCCAACTTTTAATACAGGTAGTCCTCAACTTACGACCACAAGTGAGCCCAAAATGTATGTTGTTAAGTGAGGCCTTAAGTGAGTTTTGCCCCAATTTACGACCTTTCTTGCCACAATCATTAAGTGAATCATTGTAGATACAAAGTTCAGTAACATGGTTGTTAAGTGAATCTGGCTTCCCCATTGACTTTGCTTCCCCATTGACTTCCCCAAAGTCATAAAAGTGTTCATGCAACCCTGGGACACTGCAAAATTCATAAATATTCACACAACTCCAGGACATTGCAACCGTCATAAATATGAATGAGTTGCCAAGCATTGGGATTTTGATCACATGTCCATGGGGATGCTGCAACAGTTGTAAGTGTGAAAAACAGTCATGTCACTTTTTTCAGTGCTGTTGTAACTGAATGGTCACTAAATAAACTGTTGTAAGTCAAATGACTACCTGTACTAATTTTCTTTCATTTTTCTGCATTTCTGGTTTTTTTCCAGTTTACTCTTTTGTGCCTTGTAACATATTTGGTTTCTTCGATAGATTAATTCGTATTTCCTAACTCTGGTGCCTTTCACTTGTGTAACTTCAAGTCCCAGAATTCCCAACTCAAAATGATTATTTCTGAAAATTTGGGGAAATTTCATCTAATTTGGTCAACACAGTGTTATTGGTGCATGTATATTGTAATGCTTGCTTACATAATCACATTGGTTTTGCTAAAAGGCATTATGTGCTTCATTCTGTCAGTAATGTTGGATTTAAGGCTGTGTTGTGTAGAGTTAAAAACATACTGGTTTTGAGTTTAAAACACTTTTTACTGAACTATAATAATGAAGAGACTAGGATGTTCATACTAAATACCATAAATATTACATTAATAATTAAACAGAATGGTTATGTATGGAGACTAGGTTAACTTTGTAAAGTTTTAATGTTCTCTATTTGAGCTACTAGTATTTTAATGTCAGAATCTGATTCAGGTATCCACTGTGTATCTAGTGAGAAATTACCTTCATTGCATGAGTATCGCCAGTTGTTTAACTGCAGTAGAGTATATCTGTGGTCTTGCTTAGATGGACTTTACAAAACATTGTGATTTTCTACATGATTCTTATATTTCCTACTGAAGTTTTTTTCTTTTGAAGAAAACAAGCAGATAGAAAATTCTTATATTAATATTGCATTATGATATTTTAGTATAGAAGGATACAGATCACCAAGATGATGTACTGATTCAGCAGTTCAGAATTTAGTGCAAGAGCTTGCAGAAATCATATAGAGGTGGGAATTTAGTAATAAGCAGAATACTTCAGTAGACTAGAGGCACCAATACCTTTTGCCATTGCAGTAAAACTCTCTGGTGTGTAATTATAATTTTTAAAAAATACTGTTCTCACTTCCTTTTTTTAAATATATGTATGTATATATATATATTTTTTTTCCCTTAACCCACAGGTGGAAACTGGAGGTGGACATACAGCAATATTGTGGCTTCTTTGCAAGGAAGACCTCAGCACCTTTCCCCCCAGCAAGGGCCATCCTGAAGGGGGATTTGGGTTTGGGGTGACTCATCTGCAAGAGCAGCACAGTCTGTAATTTTCCTCAGCTTTTAACAAGGCTGGGAAAACTTGCTGCACGCCATTCTGGACTCTCCGACTCCAGAAAGATGTCAACAAAGTGGAAGGTATTGGACGGGACCGGCGCAGAAACGATTTACTGAAAAATCTTTGTAGTCGTAAAATTCTTTCCTGAGCAAGAGAGAGAGAAAGCGTAAGGACTTGGCGTAATCTCCGTGTTGAGGACTGTCAGACTAACGCGATGGCTCAGGTAACAGGCCCCCGGTTCTCCCATCCTGTCCCACAGGAATCCATCATTGAGGAAGTGGCTGCTAAGAGCCATCTGTGATAATCTATTCTGTTGTCACGTAAACTGTTCAGCTCTTGATGGTCTGCTGCAGGAGTCAGCACTGCAGCGCTTGGGAGTGCTGGACCCCTCCCAAAGTTCTGGGGGGTTACCAAGCTGTTCTGGTCCTCTTCTCGCAGCCATGTTTGGAGAATGTGTTTGCTTTCTCTTACAGCCAGTTCCAGTTCAAGCCGGAAATGTTTTCGTATTTTTCTCGTCTTTCGTTCCAAGCCTAGGGGCTTACATGTATGCTGGAGTAGGGGCTGATGGGAGAGGGATGAAGAACGTCAAAGCACTTCTACTGCCCCAACCCCATTTTCCAGCTTCACGTTTCATCAGCAATATTCAACTGTAGTATCAAAGTTTCTAGGTAGCACTATTTTTCACAGTGGGATTTGCAAAAAAAAAAACAAAACGGGACAAAGTAAATGTGTAAAAACGTACATAAAACTTTATACATCCTTTTTTTTTTTGTCTCTTTATCATCTTCAGACTAACCCAAACAAGCCATCCCAGAAATTCAGCTTTGCCACCCAGATTATGTATCTGCCATATCCTTTGCAATCCACTAAAGTGGGGGGGGGAGTACACCCCAGCCATAGGAAATTTGACTCTCTGTTTCATCCAATACATCAAACTGCATCTTTGTTTGATCTTAAAAGCATTGAGTCTAATCCAGCATTTACTGCTGTATTTCTTTTTACGTACATTTTATTATTCACGGGTTTCCTGTTCTCTTTACTTCCTCAGTTCAATTATCAATATGTCTTGGGACCTTACACTCTTAGGGAAATGTTCTTCTGCCTGGTTTTCCATTAGCAGCTATTGCTGCTCCTGCATTAGCCTTTTATGCCACTTTTCAAAAATCACAGAGTGTCATTCCAGAGCTCATTGCCCCATCAGGATGCCCGATACACTATGGGGAAGTTAAAATGGCAGCTCCGGGAGTAGTACTTTTAGGCATGAGATCCGTGTGTTACTGGCTTTCTTTCCTAAGGATCCTTGGAGAGATTGAAATAGCTCATGTGGCCATATCCTCTCCCCCCTCCCCCCCTCAAACAGCAACTGTGCAAGGAGGGACAGAGGGAGAGAGAATAATGCAGTCAAATCATCTAGGGAGAGCTATCTGGTGGAGGCTTAAACCCAGGTGTCCTTGGTTCCAGACCCCTTCACACGAGTTGCCTATCTCGGCTTTAGTGTCTGAGAGTAGGGGAGCTTTTTAGGCTCTACCTGACAGGCTTCATTCACAGAATCTGGCCGAGTTTTGCCACTGTTGGCAATGCTTCTTTTTCTTCATTAAGAAGAATGCAAACAGAATCCCCACTGACTGTAGGTCAGATTCGAGTGGCAATTAGGGCTTTACTAATCCCACTTCTATTTGTTTCACTGTTCACAGAGTGAGGAGGTGGCCCATTTCACTGCCACATAGGACTGATGAGGCCCCAGCCAAACCCAGCTCCCAATTCTTCATGATTTTTTTTCTCCTTCATGGCTGACTTAGCTTTTCTCTGAAGTATTGTAATTCTCTTTTTGTGATCATCTGTGACTAGAATGCCAGAGTCTGGCACGTGTCCAAATTGCTGCCCTACTGTACATCCGTGCCTATGCAGCCCCTGGGTTGCAGATCCAGCTACTACATTTGGTGTTGAAAGTTGTCACTTTGACTTGTGCCTCGTTTAAGATGTTGGGGGACAGTGGGACATGCCCTTCGGGTTTTGCATTCTCCCTCTCCTATCTCCCTTCGTCTTTCACTTAATGGACATCTTCTGCTTTCTTGCCAATCAACACAACTAACTGTGTTAATTACCTCAGAGCAAGGCCCTGAAAGATTATTAAGCTAGGTCTCCAGACATTACCAAACTGCAGAGTTTCTGCTGTTTTATGGCTGTTTCTCAACGTCTATCTTTAAATATGAGCAATACGTTAGAAGCCAAGGCTGCCTGTTTAGTCTCTTAATTCTTTGGAGAAGAATTGATGGAAACTCTTTGCCTCAGGGAAGCTGACCAATAGCCGTGGATTTAAGAAAGCTTGGTAGGATAACTCAATAAAACAAGCACACTTTTATGGTCTAGATGGCAAATGGAAATAACTTTCATGCCTGCATATGTACGTATAGAATTTTGCCTTTCTTCATGACCCTGCTAGCACAGAGAATAAACAGTAACGAGTGCGGGGGATAAGAATTGCCCCAGATAACAAAGGAAAGATGTTCAGAGAAGCCAGTCCTTTTTCCCTTGTTTTAATGGATAGCTGTACACAGAAAGCTGAACGACTTAGATTCTGGTAGATGTGAAATGATTTCCAAGATACAGAAAAGTTGAGTTATTCAGCTGTTCAAACCCAAAGGAGAAGCATGCATCGGAGGTGGCATTGGCATCATGATGGTTGAATGTGTTGGCACTTCCTTAAAGAAGCCATGCCTCTTTCTCAATGTGCACAGTAGCCATTCTTTCCCAGGGAAATACACATTTAAGCTATGGAGGGGGACAGGGTGAGATAAACTTGTGACACCCTATCAGCACTTCCTTAGCTCACACACATACAGCTAGTCCTCAACTTATGACCACAATGGAGCCCAACATTTATGTTGATAAGTGAGAAATCTGTTAAGTGAGTTTTGCCCCATTTTACGACTTTTCTTGCTACATTTGTTAAGTGAATCTCTGCAGTCGTTAAATTAGTAACATGGTTGCAAAGTGAATCTGGTTCCCCCCATTGATTTTGCATGTCAGAAGGTTGCAAAAGGTGATCACATGACTCCGGGACACTGCCACCGTCATAAATATGACTTGTCATGCATCTGAATGTAAATCACGTGACCATGGGGATGCTGCAATAGTCATAAGTGTGAAAAATGGTCATAAGTCACTCTTTTCAGTGCCATTGTATCTTCGAACGGTCACTAAACAAACTGTTGTAAGTCGAGGACTACCTGTATTTACCTGGAATGACATGGCTTTTGCGTGGGTCCAGGAAATAGGCAGCTTTTTAAAGAAAATGCCAGGAAGTACAATGTGGCTATCTCATCTCTTAAATCACCTTTTGGGGTTTGGATCCAAAGTTGGTTCAGGTTGTTCTTTCAAGGAAACTTTCAGAAACCTTCCTAAACTGACCTAATGAGAGTCTTCTCTCTCACCAGATGTTATTGACATTCGCCAATCTTTGGTAGGTAAACTCCAAAACCAGCAGCAAGTCTGACCATACATCAGATTGTAGCCCACCCCTTAAAAAGGCACAGCTGCGATCTTAATAGGGATGGCTGCTTGGTTTGGAATCAGCTTGGCTGTATTGTTCGATGTCATTGTGGTTTTTGTTTTTGTTTTTCTCTGCAGGCGAGCCTCCTGGCCTGCGAGGGACTCTCTGGTGTATGCCTGGTGCCAACAGTTGCCAGCAAGAAGATGATGCCGAAACAAAGCTCTAAGCAGGTGGAGAACGGGGAGAGAGGGGGTGCGCCGGACATGCTGGTAAGGGCCAGCCCGTTTTCAGCTGTCTGATGCTGCACGTGCGCTTCGTTGTTCTCTGTTCCAGACACGTTGGATGACGGAGCAGAGAAAACAGGATTGGGGCAAGGGAGGCTTGGCTTGCAAATTGCCAGATTAAGCTTTTAAGCCGTTGTAGCCAGTCTCTTCTTTTCTTGTCTGCCAGGGTCATCGCAAGGAGAGCGAGAAATCACGTAGTCGGAAGGAAGAAGAAACAGCAGAAGGGTCTCCTCCTAAAAAATCCCTTAAAAAGGCAGGTAATCTTTCATTATATGACCTAGTAAAGATCAAGCTCTCCACAGAATGCCTGTCCTGCTCTCGGAAGCCATCAAGATGATGGAGCTAAAAAAAGCAGAAGCTATCAGCTGGAAGTGGGTTCTCTTCCCACCCACCCCCATATTGGTGAGCAGGGCTGTGATTAGCTTTCAGGAAATTTCTACCTAGTTTCTAAGCCTGAAGTAGCTTCCAGTTTAAATATGTGAAATGACAATAATGAAAAAGTAGACTACAATTCAATTTTAGAAAGAGTTACAAGAGACGGGCTTAAAGCAAGCGCCTCAGTTTAAAATTCAGGAGCAAAGCAGGTAACTGAAAAGTGTTAAAGGCATGAAGAAAGAAAAAGCATATACCAACCTTCCAGTATTCAACAGAAGGGGCAAGTGAGATTGTTTTTAATAAGGTATTCCCAAGCAGGGGTGCCACCACTAACAAGGCCTTTCCTCATATCCACAACAAGGAAACCTTTGGGCTTGGCCTGACGAAACTTGGAGCAGAGTTTCAAGGACTGACGGCATTGCTTGAGCAGCTTCATGCAGGTAGACAGGTTCCTTCAAATGAACTGGTGCAGGGGTGTCAAATTCATGTCATCATCATGTGACGTATCATGACTTTTTTCCTTCACTAAACTGGGTGTAGGCATGGCCAGCGCGTGACGAATCTGGCCCATGGGCCATGAGTTTGACCCCCCTGATCTGGTGCAAAGCCATTGAGAGCTTAATAATTTCTAACCGGTACTTTGCTTTGTGCTTTTGAAACCAATGAAAACCAGTGCAGATGGAGAAAAAACTCTGTATAATATGTTCTGAGTAAATGACCATTTAAATCCACTTTGATCACTACCCTTTAAACTTCTAGGGTTTCTGCACGCTTTTCAGGACAATCTTAGATACTGTATTTTTCGGAGTATAAGACGCACCGGAGTATAAGATGCACCTTAGTTTTTGGGGAGGAAAATAAGAAAAAAGCTGATTGGCAGGTGGATCGGCCTCCCGGAATACCCCCAATCAGCTGTTCCCAGAAGTGAATTTTAGCAACAGGTTCCTTGGTTGTGAGCTCTGTGCCTTGCTTTTTTTTCTGCCTCTGAAACTTCTGAAACACTGTTTCAGAAAAACCTTTTTCCTGCCTCTGAAAGCCTCCAAAACAGAGCTTCAGAAAAAAAGCCTCTGAAGCTCTGTTTGGGGGCTTCTTTTCTGAAGCTTCGTTTCCGATGCTTTTTTCAGCCTCTGAAACCTCTGTTTGAGAAGCTGGGCGGGGCTACATTCGGAGTATAAGACGCACCCAGATTTTCACCCTCTTTTTTGGGGAGAAAAGGTGCGTCTTATACTCCGAAAAATATGGTAGACTCCTAGCCAGATGCTGGCTGGGAATGATTTAGGCTGGCCAAATCAGCAAAAATTGAAAGATGCAACTGTTCTCACAAGCTGAAGATAAGCAGAACCACAACCATTGCTATAGCATATATGAGTAAGCCCAGGAACCTTCCATGGGAATGCATACCTGTCTAGCACAAGCTTCTATCTTTGTACAGTTTTTATTTTATTTTTTATGATTGTAAGCCACCCAGAGTTACCCTGAGGTAAGATGGGTGGCCAATAAATTTTACAAATAAATAAAATAGTTAACTTCTGTACCAGCTTGACTAATTTAAATAGTTCTTCATGTGTTTCTGAGGAATAAGAAATAGGAGAACTTTATTGTTCAGGCTTGTGCGACATCTGTGACAAACTTCATTCTGCTCCTTTCCAAACAGGTCAGCCTGTTATGATCATTATCCCTAGCCAGAGTAGCCAATAAGATTTGTCATTTAATACATCTGGAAGGCAGAAATTTAGGGTTGGTCAGACAAGCTGTCATATGCTTGACCAGGAGGCTTTCCCCCCTCACTTAGCGTCTGCTGCATATTGAGCCACAGTGGTGCAGTGGTTAGTGTGCAGTACTGCAGGCTACTTTTGCTGACTGCCGGCTGCCTACTATTTGGCAATTCAAATCTCACCAGGCTCAAGGTTGACTCAGCCTTCCAGCCTTCTGAGGTGGGTAAAATGAGGACCCAGATTGTTGGGGGCAAGATAAAAATAAACCGCTTAGAGAGGGCTGTAAAGCGGTATATAAGTCTAAGTGCTATTGCTATTATAAGTCATCATCCTGTGGCTTGTCATCATAGCAGTATGGTTAGTTAGTGCCTCTGAATTTAATTTTAGTTCTTATGGACAAATTACAATGCACGTAGATACTGTTGCTGCATCCAGCATCTTTTGCACTGGAATAATTCAAACTAAGAATAGGAACTTCACAATCATTATGTGACCTTTTAAAATAAACATTGTCTTTCTATGAAATACAAAAAAAAGAAAAACTTGTGGAGTTGTACTCTGAGCTCAGTAGATAATCTCTGGTGGTAAACCATAAGAATTGAAGAAAATACTATTCAGCTGAAGTAAATGAGATTAAAAGAATTGGGGCAAAGTACATTTCACATATTTAGCTAGAGTTAATGCTGTCAGATTACTTATCTTCCCAAGATTTCTGTTCTCTTTTAAAACTGCCCATCTGCTGTTAACAGACTCAGGAAGTGGATTTTAATGCTCCAAGAAAAAATTGCTTCCTGGGCCTGGAAGCTCACAGACCACTCCACAGTTTTCCCAAATGCAGAGGAAGAACAGATTGCTTTGTACATGGCCTATTGTATATTAAGCTTAACGAGATAAAGTGGAAGTGGGCAAATATACACCCCGTTTCTGCCAAAGATCAACCTATTTCCACTAGGGGTCAAATATGGGATATTTTTTGCATTTTTAACAGCAGAAGATATTAATGAATCTCTGTATTTAAAAAAAATCCAGGCAATCTGTTGTATACCAAACAAAGCTAAAGAGGCAAGCTGGATCAATTGTAGAAATTCAAAAGAGTTACATACCGTGTTTCCCCGAAAATAAGACCCTGTCTTATATTTTTTTGAACCCTGAAATAAGCGCTTGGCCTTACTGCCATGCACTCAAAAGCCCGATTGGGCTTATTATCAGGGGATGTCTTATTTTGGGGGAAACAGGGTACATGAGAGATGCTTTGTTTTCTTCCATTGTGTTGTGCAGTTCATTCTGTTGTGGCTTGAAACAGGGAGAATGGACAGTCTGTAGCAGTAGCTCCCAGCCTTTTGGGCACCAGGGACCGGTTCCATGGAGAAAGGTTTTTTCACGGACTAGAGGGGGCGTGGTTTCGCATGCTGCCTTCATCCCACTGATGGAGCTTTGCTTGTTAGCGCGGCCCGGTTTCTGGCATGCCGCCGCCTGATGCCGGTCCATGGACCTGGGGTTGGAGCTGGGGACCCATGGTCTATAGAGGAGGCAAAGGTACTATATATGCACTGACAAATGTCTTAGCTAAACCTCCTGACAGACCTGCAAGTTAGAAGATATGCCCAGATAGGCATGTTGTCTCTTTGTTGAGAAGCTGTTCTATGCTTGCTTGCAGGTAATGGTGATAGAACAGAATGGATCCTTCCAGGTCCGGATTCCCAAGAATTTTATTTGCGAGCACTGTTTTGGAGCATTCCGGAGCAGTTACCACCTCAAGAGACATATCCTTATTCATACTGGTAAGCGTATGGTCATTTGCCAATCTTGCTTTTGAAAATAGGCAGCGGGGGACAGACCTTAACCTTGATATAATGTAGTTATAGAAATGGCTAGTTTATATTGTTATGGAAAAGTAAAAAAGTTGTGGTTTGATGTTAATGCTTTATTTTACTGCAGCAGAGGAAGTCGGAAGTCAACACTTTTTTTTTCACTTTTCCCCCATCCTCCCTCACTTCTCTCCCCACCCTCCGTATCTGCATATTTGTTTTTGTATTTTATTCTATAATCTAATAAAATGTTTAAACGCACATACACACAGAGAACATATATAATGCAGGTGCGGATGCTTGACATACCAAGAACCAGAGAACTCAGCTCCTATCTTCACCCTGGAAGCAGTTTCGGTGATCTAAGTCTTGAAAGTGTAATAAAGGAAGTCTAGTGACACTACAGGTAGTCTTTGATTTATGACCAATTGCTTAGTAGCTGATAAGAGTTGTGACAGATTTCCCCAGGGATACTTACAACCTAGTTACGAAATTCTGACACGTATACACACACCCTGGTGACTGCGCTTCAGGTGTTTGGCAAGTGCCCTTCGTTTATGACCTTTTGCAATGTCCTATGGTCACATTTTATGACATTTTCGCCCAAAAAAGCCCCTAGCATTTATTTGTAGTTTCCAGCAAAACCAGCCAGTAGCGAATAGTTGGTTCACTTTAACAACTGTCACAGAAAAGGTTGTAAAATCAGACACACAGGCAACTTGCTTTATGATTGTCACGACTTACAACTGTAATGGGCCGGCTCTATCATGGTTGTAAATTGAGGACTACTTGTACTGATTGTGATGCAGAGACTTAATTCACCACAACCTGCTGAAGGGTTATCAAATGATGTTCTCCATTCACGGGAACAACTTTTATCCGGGTTAAAACGGAATCCTTACGTATCAACCTGTCTCTCAAATTCAGGCTTCCTTAATGTGCAGTTTGGGTCACTCAAAGAACAAAAATGTTAGCTTTAAAACATCATTCCAGTCAGTTGCCCTGTCCTTGGACTGCCAGTAGATGGCCCTCTTCCCTTTGAAATGCATCCACCAAATGCCAACTTAAAAGTAATTTAGAAACCTTTAAGATTGATAATTATATCAAGGAAAGAGAAACGTTTACAAGTCTTCATGTTAGACGGAGGTGGGGCTGTTCTGTAAGTGTTCCACGCTTCATTCTTCCAAACATTCTCTAGTGTAAACAATGGAATGGCAAAGTAGTTCTGATTTACTATAGAAGAGGAATTGCCTAGCAGACTATAGTACTATGAGGCCTGTGCCTATTTTAAAAAGGATGCAGGAGAAATACTTTGGATTTCGGGTGAGCACTGTTCTCTGTTATCCATGAAAGGCACTGGACTTCTTCCAGGCTGCCCCATGGGTCTGAAAAAATATTGTGGCAGCAGCTGATGCTTTCAGTAGGCGATTCATTAAAGTTAATTAATGTGATTCTTAAAGTAGCCATGTTCTTTAAATCACTTTCACATGTGGGCTTAAAGAAAGTCAGGCTTTTTAAATAAATAGCAAGGATCTAGTGTGTTTGCATAAGACCTGAAACACTTCTTCCAAATTCTGGATCATTTTTGAAATTTCCATCTAATAAGTAGTACCCATCTATACACCAACTCTCTGGAATGTGTTCATCTTTAGAATTAAAAAAAGGTATTTTTTTAAAAAAAATATTTGTGAGGTCATGCAATGTTTTTTCAGGCCTGGGACTTTAAGGAAAAGGTTCATCTATTTCTTCTCTAAAAAAACCTGGATGCATGAGTAGCAGCTTCCTCTATGTAGAAATAGACTTGCAGAAATAATCTCCGGCTCTTGGCAAAGTAAAAACCAGGGCTTCCAGCTTCACAATCGGGGCCTGCATTGCCAAGAGAAAAATAAGGTATTAGGAGAGGCAAGAGTGAGAAATGACATCACTTTTTCATTTGGGTCTGGAGTGTCCTGTAGCATATATTTCACTAAGAACATCTTTTGCTTCAGTGTCTTATGTGTCTTCTCTAGGAAGCTCTGCTTTGTATGGTTAGATCTTTGCTTAGAAGGATTCTTGCCACCTTGTTTCCTCTAAAAGCATAGGAGTTACAGCTCTGGAAATAATTAGCTGCTCCCTACCCTCTGTTAAAGGAGAGAAGCCTTTTGAGTGTGACGTCTGCGACATGCGCTTCATCCAGAAATACCATCTGGAGCGCCACAAACGTGTCCACAGTGGAGAGAAGCCATATCAGTGTGAACGCTGCCTGCAGGTAAGGACTCTTTTCATTTGTCTTCCACATTTAGAGTGGAAATCTTGCCAGACATGTGTGTTAAGACTTCGCATCAGCATAGAGAAGAGCACTATGGCCTGTCTCCAGAACTGGAGATATCTTTGGTCTGCTTCTCAGATGCATTTGCCTGAACCCCTTCAACGTTTGCTCAAACCACCTCCTCTTGACTGGCTTGTGGAATTGTAGGCTGTGTCCCTCTGGATTACTCCTACTACATCCCCTTCCCTTCTGGAGGACAGGCCCATGTTCATGGCTGCAAGCCCATCTCCTTTTCTTCCATCCCTTGCATGGCCAGCCCCATTCACTGTCCTGGTGCAGTCACACCAATCCTATCCCTGACCCTCTCATTGGCCTTCTTTCTTTGAGCTACCGCCACTTCAGATAATCTTTTCACCTTTGCCCCAATGCTCACCACCATTTTTTCATCTCAGCCAAAATGTCCCTGACTCCTCCATTCCCTTGTGCTTCTTTTTTTTTTCTTCTGGCTAGCCTTCTCCAAGGTTGGTAAAATGGGGACCCAGATTGTTGGGGGCAATATGCTGACTCTGTAAACTGCTTAGAGTGGGCTGGAAAGCACCATGCAGCGGTATATAAGTCTTACTGCTATTGCTACTTAGTGTTATTTTTGGGAAAACATGGTAGCAATAGCAGTAAGACTTATATACCGCTTCATGGTGCTTTACACTATGAAGCTCTTATTTTCCTTTGGGCCCCAAAATAAGCACCAGGTCTTATTTTTGGGAGATGTCTTACCCTTAGGACCACCACAGCCAGGCCTCCCACCCCCTGACACCTGTTGCACTGCTGCCGGACTTCTGCGGCTGCTCATGGCCAAATGCCACCTCGTGCATTGTGCTGGTGCCTCTGCTCACATCACTTGGCCTTCTGCCACGAACAGCAGCACCAGCACAATGTGCCACATGGCGTCTGGCCACAAGTGGGTGCAGAAGTCAGGCAATGGCACAGAAGCTGTTGGGGCATGGGAGGCCTGGCTGCGGTGGTCCTAAGATAAGCAAGTGCGTGGGGCAGCTCCACACAGCCACCCTAGCTTGATTTTTACGCATGCACCTCACCCCACCTTGTATAACCAGAACAGAGTGGGTGGGATCTTAACTAGGGCTTATTTTTGAGGCAAGGCTTATATTAAGCACACGTAAAAATCAAGCTAGAGCTTATTTTTGGGATAGGTCGTATTTTCAGGGAAACACAATATTCTCACTTTAAAACCCTTTCCCCTTTCTCTTCCTGACCTCTTAAGTGGTTGTAGCATCCGTCAGCAGATATTCCAGTTTTCATCATCAAAAAAACTAGGCAATTACGCAGGATTCATTTTTCTTTTCTTAGTAGAATGTCAATTCTTTTTAAGGTGAGGCTGAAAAACGGTAGGGTGAATGTCACTCAGTTTAATTTCACAATTAAATTTTCCAACGACTAAATTGAAAGGCTTGGATGTCAGATGAAATAACTGTATATAAGGCATACCATTTTTAAAGGTGGAAAATTTTAAAGGTGGGAATAAGTAGGTTGTGAGAAATTAAATCACCAGTAGAAAATCAGTTAACTAATCAGTAATTGTTAATATAGTTAAAGTTTTATTTGAATAATGGCCCATCTTTGCTGTGTAGTCTATACTCTTCTCCTAAAGCATAGCCCTGGACAGTCCATTCAAAAGCCTCACTAGCCCATCAGAAATTACACACTTTTCCCCACGTGTTAAGGAAATTCTGTCAGTTGTGGGTTTTGTTGTCATTCCAGAATTGTGATCTGACATTCCTAAGGAAGGGTCCAGAATTTCCTGCAGGAGTTTGAACTGGCCAGTCAGTTCATGTTAGTTAGTTACCATGTTTCCCCAAAAATATGACCTACTCAGAAGGTAAGTCCTAGCTTGATTTTTACATGTGCGCCCAATATAAACTCTACCCCCAAAATAAGCCCTAATTAAGACCCTGCCCAGTCCAGGGTGCACAGGTAAAAATTAAGCTGGGATTGGGGGGGGGGTTGGAGCTGCCCTACTACTTACCTTCTGATAGTTGCAGCCAGCCCTCACACACCTCGGCCCATTTCTTTTGCTGCAGCAGGCAAGGCTTTCCAGAAGGCCTCTACTACAGTCAATAACACAGCTCCAGATCGATCCGGAGCTCTGTTATCGGCTACAGAGGCCTGCAGGAAAGCCATGCTGGCCTTGTCAGATGAAGAAGTTCCTAAAGGCCTCTGGTAGCGAAAAAGAGACCAGGGGTGACGTGCACAAGTGAGGTGAGTCAGTGGATGACATCCCCCCACCCCCAAAAATAAGACCTGATGCCTTTTTTTTGGTGGCAAAAAAATATATATAAGGGTCTTATTTTCGGGGAAACACGGTAGTTAGTTAGGCCAGCCATTTTAGTTTTATGTCTGTGCAAAACTGAAAGGAAAACTACAAACCCTACATTTTAGTTGAGGTTCAGTTTCCTCTGGAAAGTCAGTGTGGAGCACAGAGTATTCCCTCTTCTAACTTTTTCCCAAGGGGCAACTCTATGAGAGATTGGTGGAGAAAATATAACTCCTTCACAGTGAGCTTCCCTGACAGGAGGAGGGTTTGCCCCAGGATCTTCCTACTTCCAGTCACAAAGGCCCACTGCCCCGCATTCGGTTTTCAATTGCACTGACCCTAAAATGCAGGGTTTCCGACTTTGCTTTTGGTTTTGCATAGAGCAGGGGTGGGGAGAGCGATGGCCCTTACATGATTTGTGGACTTCCTGTTGGCCCAGGAACTCTGGGAGTTGAAGTCCACAAGTCATAAAGGGGCCATCGTTTTCCCCACCTTTGGCCTAGAGCCTTTGTCTTTTTGGTCATCTCTCCGGATTTTTTTTCCCCCTCTCCTTTCCCTTTCACAGAGCTTCTCCAGGACAGACCGGTTGCTGAGACACAAACGAATGTGCCAGGGCTGCCCCAGCAAAGCATCTGACTCCCAGCTACTGCTTTAGGGTTGGGCCATAGAAGAGGCTTTTAAGAAGTTGCTGGGAAGTCCACCAGATGCTCTGGGAGTGGGCTTGTTCACCTGCTTGTGTTTTGTCCCCAAGTTTGCCTGCTGAGCCTATCTCCTGTGGAAGCGGCAGAGCTGAGCGGGCACAGACTTCAACTTATGGTCTTGACACTGTAAATACATGGAGGACAAAGCAGGGCTGGCTCCCAGCCATTGGGAAGCTCACTGCAGTTGTGGATAAACATTGCCGGGGTGCGCTTTCTGTTTCTGTTTTAGGTCTTTTTTTTTTTCTTTTTTTTTTTTGAAATTTGAAATTATCACCATTTGCCTCAGGAAAGGCTTTGAAAAGCATTGCGGGGCCTTCCGCGAGCCATTCCGACCAGATCCGGTGCTCTCCATTAACAGACGATCTGCCAGCTGGCCTGATATTTGGGCTTGCAAAAAAAAAAAAAAAAGTGGGAGAACAGGAGGCAAATATTTTATGAGAAACAGTGATCACCGCCAGTCAAGCAGTGAACTATTTTGCGGAGCTGATCCACACCAGGAACGGATTAGCAGCGGCAGGATACTGAGACCTGGGATCACAGGAGTCTGTCTCATTTATGCTAGGCCGTGAGGCCTACGGGACATTCCCCCCCCCCCTCCTTTCCATGCTATTCTCTTTAACAGTGATTTGTGGTCTCGACTTTCAGGTTTCAAGAAACAAGGGCTGCAGAAGGTGACAAATGCTTTTGGGTCAACCTAGAAGTCTACCTTAGATGTGCTCCATTTATCAAGATCCAGTTGATATTCAGCTGGCTGGAAGGCTCTGTTTTCCTCCCAGGAGAGGAGGATACTTGTATGTGGTCCCTTCTCTTTCCCTTGTAAATAGCCATCCATTCAGGACTTACCTGTTACATATCTCTTCAAGCGGAATCCAGAGCTTTCTTAGGGGGCAATCCTGTTTTCCTAAATACATGAAAAGCCAGCTCTGGCCCATGGGCACCTATCTTCTAAACCTGATGCTGAAGAACTACAGTCTCTGTGAGGGAGGGACTTCGGCCTCTTGATATGTTTCTTGGAATAAAATACTGGAGGACTGGAGGTCAGCATTCCCATGCACCATGAATTCTGATTGCTCCTGGGCTGCTTCGTTGAAGTTTGAAAAAGAGGCTTGTTGCCAATATGCAAATTTTTATATGTGCTATTATTTTAGCTTAGTTGCAACAGGCAGCAGCAAGTTTGCAAGGGAAAAAAATGGGGGGGGGAAACCCTCCCAAGTCCCTTCTCCCTCACTATCGCATTTACAATGGTCTTTCTAGAGGGCAAGTAATAATTTGTCTCGGAGTCTGGAATTTACTTGTTAGGAACAAGCGCCTCCATCTGAACTATCAATACAAATGTCATTTGTCCTTCAAATACATCCCTCCCTGAGTTAACTTCTGAGTTCGCCATAAGCACCTTGCTTTAAGCCAGGTTTTAACCAAGGGCTGTGTTGGTAGAGAAATGATGGTCTTTGTTTGGTCATGCTGGAGAGGTTCGTTCTTGAGGGGCTGCATTTCTGCCTATGCAACTAGAAAGGTTTGATAAACAGAGATGGGATACTTTAGATGAGTGCTTTTCAAACTTGACAACTTTAAAAGGTGTGAGCTTCTTAACTCCCAGATGTGTGGCTGGGAAATTCTGGGAGCTGATCTTAAAAATTGCCAAATTTGAAAAAAAATCTGCTTTAGTTCAAGATTGTTGCGCCCCCCCCCCCCTTCAACCATTTAAGAGGTTCCAATGTACTAGCAAAAGGCATTGTTCTTTTGATCATCTTTCTTCTTGCTGCCTAGGGATCATGGGAGTTGTAGTCCAACAAATCTGAAATACATTAGCTTGGGGAATGTTACTGTAGAGGAGATTTTTTTTTTAATAAAAGAGCTCTTTAATTTCCTTCCCCTTGTTCATCAGAATACGCAGGTTTATTCCCAGCCTTGTTAACATTTCTAAAATTAACACCAACTTCTAGTCTGCAGTTTATGGGAATGATTAGGACACCCAAAACTCTAGGAGGTTTGTTGCAATTTTAGTGGGGCTGATAAAAATTAAAATGGCTACTCTTTAGAAAGAACATACCACCATAATGTATTTCAGTTTACCAAGGACTGTTTTCCCCCAAAAGGAAATAAAATAATTGCTGTAGGAAAAAGCTTGAGGAAATGTAGATATTTGTGGGGGAGGGAAGGGAAAGGAAATTGGAATGTAACTGTTTCAGGGGGAAATAGCAATGTGCTCAGGTGGGAAAAGAAAACTTGCTTGAGTAGAAGAAATCTCTTTATCAAGTACTAGATGTTTTTCTGTCCTTCCGGACTTAATCTAATAATTGAGACATGGCACTACAAAGCATATTCACAGTTGCCTAGTATTTCCCCAAGAGGTAAGGTGAATCTCTTGAGCGAACTGCCTCATACTGCCGGATTCTTTATGTGCCAAGCAGAGTAATGACTCTATGCTGTTTTGATTCCTTCAGGCAGGGGTGTCAAACTGGTGGCCTGCGGGCCAGATGCATCACGTGCTGGCTACACCCACCCCAGCTCCACGAACGGGAAAAATGTCACGAAACGTCACGTGACGGCAACGTGATGCAGCGAGTTTGACACCCATGCTCTAAAGCAGGGGTCTCCAACCTTGGCAACTTTAAACCTGATGGATTTCCACTCCCAGAATTCCCAAGCCAGCAAAGCTGGCTGAGGAATTCTGAAAGTTGAAGTCCGCCAGGCTTAAAGTTACCAAGGTTGGAGACCCCTGCTCTAAAAAATGTGCAGCTTTAGGAGCACAGGGATGTGTTTTGCTTAGGCTCTGCATCTTGCTAGGGTGCTGCCATAGAGACTCAGGAGGCTAATTAACACTATGTACTCTGGGAGAGGAATTCTATAAGCTGCTGCACACTCTACACCAGCGCAGTCATTTATCAATAACCTAGATAGGCATTAATTGGTGTCTGCCAATTTTGTTATCCAGCTCTTTTTCCCTGCTTAGGAGTGAAGGAAGACAAATGTTAACCTCAAAAACAAGTTGCGTATGACTTTCATTGCTGAATTTTGCTCAGAAGTGGACTATAGTGTTGAAAGAACAGGATGGGGGAGAAGGCAGAAAGAGCAACCATAACAATTCAGTGATTAATAATTGGACAAAATAATAGGGTTCAAGCATTTTTTGTTGTTAAATAATCACCTGCAGGCAGTACATTAGCAAAACGAGGGGGGGGGATAGTTTTTTGTGGGAGGAGGTTTTATTTAAACAAATCGCTTGGCCCACCCCAATGAAATTGATAGCATCTATTAACTGCTGCTGGTTCATCCCAACTAGAAATTTTATGCAGTGGGTATAATTGCACTAAGATCTTTGCATTTTTTTTTCTTGACAGAGATAAAATTGAAAGGAAGTGAAACTTGTCTGGAAGTTTCACTGGTTGCCACTCTTTAAAGTGCAAGGGACCAAAACCATTTCAGAATGTAATTTGTTTTGTTCAAATAAAATTATGCAGAGGCAGTGAGGTGAAAAGAGGACTAATTTGCTGAAGGTTCAAGAAAGTGAGACTTAGATTTTAGGTAAAAACAATGTACTGTTTTAAAATATTCACCGTTTTAAAATATTCACTGTTTTAAAATATTTAGTAGCAGAACAGTGAATGGGATTGCAGCAAAGAGTTGGATGAATTGGATGGCTTGGCAAATCCAGGTAGCAGCAGACTGGAAAATGGGTTTTGCATAAAAACGTTAAGTGTACTTCCTTTGCAGGAATATAGAGATACACAATTTTACCAACACTGTCTATGGTAATGCCTCTCCTGGAGATAGAGAAACCAGTCTTTAGAGAGTATGTGTGACAATTTTTCCCTGTATCTTTGTCCAACCTGAATATGTTGCTTATTATACATGTGACCCACAGGAGGTATTCAAGTCCAGACCTCTGTAATTCTAACAGATACGGTCTTGTGTGTGTGGAACATGGCAGTGTATGCAAGCCAACCTGTGTGAAAGTCAGGTGGACTGGAACCTTCGTGTACCTTGAGGAGTGCCTGTATTTGTGTTGCCCTAAAGGGCAGCCAGGGACACGTTTTTGAAGGCGCTTTATTTCCCTATGTCCTCCATCTTACTGCCTTTCCTCCATGGAAGTGAGAAATCCCATTTTGACAATGGATGCCATTGGGAGCTGTTGCTATTCCCATTCCTTTTCCTGGGTGCTGGTAGCAGAAGGACAAATCGTGCTTGTCACATGGATCAGGTGCCTTAAGGTGCTTTCCAATGTGGTGCTGCTGGTCTTAATTTAGGAGTTTGTTCAAATAAGAAGGAAACGTAAAGGACCTTTTCTTGCAGTTCATATTTGGCTTTTACATAGACCTCCTGAAAGGAAAACAATCTAGCACTTCAGCCTGACCAGATAGCCTCTGGACTTAATGTGAAGGTCCAATAGCTTTTTCTAAGATAATTTATTTTCCTTCCCTTTAACTCACTGGTTTTGCAGGGAAGGGAATTGGGGCAGGGGTGTGTTACCCAAGGACAGGATCACTTTTAAATTGTAGTTTTTATAAGATGCTATAAACTTGTATCTTTTTACCATTACAGTGTGGTGTCTTTTCCTTTGTGTGTGTGTGTGTGTTCCATTTCAGTAATTGGAATAAACTCGGCTTGCTTTCCCTTCCAAACATTAGCTTCACTGCTTCTCCATACCGTTAGCTTGGGTGTTACATATTCTTTGACCAGCTTGTTTTGTTGTGCCGCGTACTTGGATGAAGGACCTGCAGTGGAACAGAGGCACAGAGAAGATGGCACAATACTGCCTTCAACAGATTCTAGTGTTCTTTTCAGTTTTCTGAAGTTGCATTCCAGTGGTGGACCAGGTCATAGCCAGAGTGGTAGGGCTGACTTTAAAAGATAAGTTGCTGATCCATACTGACCATAGCTCTGTCAACAGCTGGTAAGTGTATCTGAGCTTTCAGGTAGAAATCTCTCAGTTCTAGATCTAGGAGAATATGCCTTCCTAATTAAAAAAAAAAGGGGCGGGGAATACACTTACTAGGTTCATGTGTACCGTATGTGTAGCAGCTTGCCATGATGGCTGCTCAGAATATTGCTGTAGGTGTGCTGTGAGAAAGGGGTAGGTTTTATGTTGACTATGCCCAGATCAGAGGTGATGCTGGAAGCCAAACATCCGATTCCTAAACTTCCAGGTTATTGGTTCCAGAAATGACCAATTTCCAACCTTCTGCATATTGGTGGAGTACAGAAACTTTAAACCACCTAACTTCATTGGAAGGAAGGGGTGTTTGCTCCTGTTGGACATTTTACTTTGGCTTAATTAGTGCTGTCTGTCCGCCATTTAAGACATCACTAAATTAGTCCAATGTGAAATTGGATTGCCGGAAGAATACAAGGAGAAACCCAGTGCTAAAAGATGCAGTGTTGCCAGGGTTGTGCACATTGGCTACTCGGATACAACAGCAGAATGGGCAGCAGACAAGATTGATTGTGGGCCCAAAGCTTGGAAATGATCCCTATTTTATTTACTTTTTTTATTAGATGTTTTTAATCCTGCCTTTTATTTATGGGTAACTGAAGGTGGTGAATAGTTAATACTTTCCTCCTATGTTCCTCACAACAGCAACTCTGTGAGATAGGTTGAGCTGAGAGAGAGTGACTGGCCCAAAGTCCTCCAGCTGGTTTTCATGCCTAAGGCAGGACTAGAACTCACAGTCTCCTGGTTTCTAGGCCAACACCTTCACCACTACACCAAACAAGCTCTCTATGACTATCCCTATGACTTCGTCTCAATAAGTGGCAGTGTTTAATTTTGTGGCTGTTGCGGACACCACCAATAGAGCCAATGACAGCTTAAAGTTCTTTTACCTGGAGGTGAAATGAAAACCACACCACAGGGACCCATCAGAAAGATCTTTTCAGGACAAGTTTGCCATGGGTAGGTGCAAGTGAGGAATGACCCTTATTAACAGTACTGGGAATAGTGGCAGCCCTTCTGCAAATCAATGTGGATGAGCCATTTAGAGGAGGTGCATCAAAGTGAGGCATATACAAAAGATGTGAGGTTTTGCTCAAGGTGAACATTTAATTTTATGCATAATGTTGAAAAACAGCTGCAGCATTTCAGGACCCTGATCAATAGGCTATGTGTTTCCAAGCATAAAATACATGATGTCAAGTGAAAGCACAGTACAATAAAGGTTTTATTGGTTGACCACTTTGAGATTTTGCCAGACATGTTGATTCATTATTTCGAACCCATTTGAGATTAGCTGGTGATGTAGGTCGAACTACATCTAGGGCTTGCTCAGGGGAAATTCTCATGCAGGTGTCTCTCCTCCAAAGACATACAGTATCTTCAGCTGTTGGCACAGTGTTGTCAAGTTGTGTTTGCAATGTTTTCATAACCATTGTACTGGGGGTCGATGACTGTTGTAATAATAATAATAAAAAAGGACCAATTAGAGAACACCCATAGAACCATCAATAATATTTTTAAAGGAATCCAGTTTACTAGAGAAGAAGAAAACAACTCGCTACCCTTCCTGGACATCCTGATCAGCAGAGAGCACAATGGCAAACTAGAAACACAAGTCTACAGAAGAACCACCCATACTAACTCGGTGCTCCACTACCAAAGCAATAACCCAAACTCCCACAAGAGAAGCTGTGTAAGGACTGTATTGTATTTAAACAAGCCCAATCACACCACAGTAACCCAGAACAGAAAAAGGAAATGGAGCATCTATACAACACATTCCAACAAAATGGATACTCGTGCAACTTTATCAAAAGGTCTCTGACCACTCAACCCAATACAGCACAACCAATACAAGCCCTAAAAAAACTATGCTGCCATACATCAAGAATATCTCAAAAACCACAAATAGACTATTACAACCATATGGAATCAGCATAGCACGCAAGCCAACTAAAGCCCTTCAAAACATCCTAAGCAAACCAAAAGACCCAGCAATCCCAGAAGAAAAAACAGGAGTCATCTACAACGCACAATGTAAGAATTGCAACAACCACTATGTAGGACAAACAGGCAGAAGACTGGCAGAACACCAACTGGCTCGTCGGAAGACATGATAAAAATTCTTTAATTTCACAACATGTAGAAAAGATTTAATCATAGTTTCCATTGGGAAAATGTGACAATCCTAGATCAGACCAAGTCCAAAAATGCCAGGGAATTTCTAGAAGACTGGCACTCTAACAAATCAGCCATCAACAGACACATAGGCATTAACAACTTCTACAGACTATGCAAAACAATCAACCACCCCAAAAGAGAAAAAGACTCCAGCACCTTTCAACCATTAATCAGCATTCAGATCAGCATAGATTAACTCCAAAGTCAACTTCAAACCAATAATCAAGTAAGCAATACCCCAATCAAGAAACTGCCAAAGAGCCATCAGTAAACAGCCCAACCAAAGAATCCCTAAGACTGCACCTTCACCCCTCACACAGACGGGCAAAATGCCAGAATATAAGCTGACAGCAAACTGCACTCCTTACTAGCACTGATGATGTTACCTAGTTAGGGTAATGAAACATCTGGAAGAAAACAAGCAAGCTCAGGGAGCACCAAGGACCCCTCATTTCAACCCTGGGCTACAAATATTTTCCTTTATTGGTGACTCTTGTGGTGGCGCTCTTGAACTTGACGTTGTTCATCTGGAAAAAGAAATCAGAAGATCAGGGCAAAGGGCAAATGCTGGATTTGTAGCTCGAGTCAGCAGGAAGCTCCTTCATCTGCAAGTGAGGTCATCTTTGAAAAAGCCCATTCCCTACTTCCCCAGAACTCACTCAGAAGCTATCTCAGAAAGGAGGATTCATACATTTTTATGCTATGTTGGTGTGACACACGGAACCACATACTAACTAGTCTACATCTAGAAATTAGGATTGAGTAAATTACAATGCATTGCCTCCAAATAACAACTTGCCTCTAGAAGTAACAACTTGCTTCCAGAAGTTGTGAACCCTCCAACACTGGAAGTTTTTAAGAAGAGATTGGACAACCATTTATCTGAAATGCTATAGGGTTTCCTGCCTAAGCAGAAGATTGGACTAGAAGACCTCCAAGGTCCCTTCCAACTCTACTCTCTCCTCTCTTCTCTCCTTTCCTCTCATCTTCATTACCTTCGGAGTGAGATTGCTGCAATTGACACCAACTAGAAAGTGTCAATTCCTAGAAAAGCAAGAGTAGTGTCTGTTTTTGTGCAAAAGATCTTGATAGTTTGTGCTTGAGTTAACTGAATTGTATTAGAAGGCCTTGAGGCACCCAAGCTAAATTTATCTCATAGCTTTGTTAAAGCTATGGCCATCCATGTAAGCTCCTGAGTGGAGCTTGGGGCCCTATAAGTCCTGGTTATACAAACGAGCAGAGGAGAGCTATAGTCCAGTCCTCAGGAGGATGCCAAGCTGCTCATGTCCTCAATGGTAGGTAGAAAAACAGCACTGCTCAACATGTATGGTTAAGAACAAGCAACAAAATGCCCCTCCTCGTATGCTTGCTTGAGATAAAGATGGATACATATACATGTGTGTGTGTGTGTGTGTGTGTGTGTGTGTGTGTGTGTGTGTGTGTAGATGTGTGAAACTAGTGGATTGGGATTTCACTGAACTAGGGCTGCAGAAAAATCTTGGTTTACGTAGGAAGAACCTGGCTAAAGAGAAATACACATAAAGACCTACGAAAAGAAAAGAAAACAAATACTGTACCTTTACAGGGAGGATACATGGGATGAAGGTGTGGCTAACTGATGAGGGTTTATAAGCCCGAAATAGATCTATCTTAGTCTTCTTAGTCTCCCAATGGGCAGCAGGGAGCTTGCTGGCTGCTGGAAAAAAAAGCCTAGAAACTAGTGGATTGGGATTTCACTGAACTAGGGCTGCAGAAAAATCTTGGTTTACGTAGGAAGAACCTGGCTAAAGAGAAATACATACATACATACATACATACATACATACATACATACATACATACATACACACACATACATACATACATATATCAGATTAGGGCTGGAAAGGGACCTTGGAGGTCTTCTAGTCCAACCTCCTGCTCAAGCAGGAGATGCTATGTCAGGGATCCCAGCCCTGGTCCATGGACCAGCACCCGGTCGTTGCATGCCAGTAGCCAGTCCGCTTAAAGAAGTGAAGCCCCACCTGTTGGATGCAGGCAGCATATGAAATCATGTCCCTCCTCCCCCGTTCCATGGAAAAACCTCTCTCCATGGAACTGGTCCCTGGTGCCCAAAAGGTTGGGGGTTGCTGCCCTACACTATTTCAGGCAAGTGGCTGTCCAATCTCTTCTTAAAAACCTCCAGTGATGAAGCACCCACAACTTCTGAAGGCAAGTTATCCCACTGGTTGTATGCAATATGCAAATAATACACATGTTTTACATTTTCCAGGAGGAAGAGCTCTGTCCTTCAGATTTTCTGCAGGTGTTTCCCAAGGTGCAAAGCCTCCCGGTGGGTCAGATTTGTCTCTCTCAGGATGGCTTTGCAAGTTGAAGATGCTTCGAAGGGCACTGACCTGAGGCCACATGGCATTTTTTCGTTCTTTTTCAAGGCGTCTGAACTTTCTCCGGTCACAGATCTCCACAACGCCACGGGACAGGGCAATGAGAAACCCCCCTATGATCACCACCATCAGCGCACTCATTAACGCTGGCATCAGGTTCGGCTGCCTGGTAGAATCTGGCACTGGCAGGATAGAAAGAACAGAAGCACAGGAGTTACCTAAGTTGCCAACACTCCCACCAGGAATTGGAGAAGCTGCTTTCCATTCCTTTGCTATTGAATGTATATTTTACCAACAAAGAAATAAGGGAGACTAGTACAGATCTATTTCAAGCTATTTAGCTGTCGTCAGCTAGCCAAACCCTTTCTGGGATTCGAACCCGGGCTACTTCGAATCCCAGAAAGGGTATGGCTAGCTGATGAGAGCTAAATAGCTTGAAATAGATCTATACTAGTCTCCCTTATTTCGTTGTTGGTAAAATATACATTCAACACAAAAATAGTTTGTCGCAAAAGCAACTGCCTGCAAAGGCTCCTGGATTGGGGCTGAAAGGCAGAAGTGGAAGCAGTATGCTCCGTCCCATAGTTGGGTGGACCACATTTCCCTGATAGACCGGTCTCACAGGGAAAAAACACTCATTCCTTTGCTATTTCCTCCCTTTTCTCTCTTCCATTGTAGCCATGTGTCCTGTGCCTTGCTCTATAGCATCCATGCACACCTTCCTATAGTAGGGCTTCTTCCTTGGACCAAGATTAAATGTTATTTCTTTTGCAGACTGGAGGATATCAATTTGGGAAGGTTGTTTTATACCTGCCTACAGAGCTAGGTTTGTCAAGTAATGTGATGGGATTTGCTGGAGAGTGAACTTCAGGAGTGAAGTTCTGCCACCACTCTCTCGGCTTATAGTGCTCTGTTCCCCAAAGAGCAACTCTGGGAAGCTGTCATGTCTGCTGATGACATTTCTCTAGTATTATCATTAAATGGCATTCTTTACAGAATAGAAGGACATGAGTGGGGTCATTGAAGAGCCAGCAATTTTCATTTTGGCATCAAGAATTATGTGCTAGATTCATCCACTGCACTAAGTGCAATATGCTTAATTGTGATGGCCAGTCAGCCAAAGATTTGCCAGAGCTAACCAAAAATAGAACCCAGCCACTGTCCTCATTCATCTTTGTGTATAACTGCTAGCAACAAACTGCCATCTAGAGCCAATACTTATGCAAAAAAAAAAAAAAAGATTTTTTTTTTATATATAGATTTAATTTTACAGGATCATATCAAAAGGTTATCAAGGGGCAAATGATGTATGAAAGCATACAGGTTAGATTTACGTATTACACTAAGACATAACATGACTTACTTATGTAGTTCAATGGGAAAAATTCAGTGAATTGTGGTTTATTCAGCAAAACATGGTTAACAAGCAGTTGGTTTAGAAATTTGATTCTGCCAGAGCTCCTTATAGAGATGTATGCAGATTTCTCTTGCCTGCTATAGCATCACAGGCTGCCTAGCATATAAGCAGATCCTGGGTCAGGATCCCACCAGAAACCCTCTTATCTATCTATCTATCTATCTATCTATCTATCTATCTATCTATCTATCTATCTTTTCTTTCTTTCTTTCTTTCTTTCTTTCTTTCTTTCTTTCTTTCTTTCTTTCTTTCTTTCTTTCTTTTTCTTTTGTCTCAGGAAAATCCCAACACTGCAAAAGAATAACAGCACATGCTCACAACTTCTTCCCCTGGCAACTCACCCTTTCGGTCATTCACCGTCAGAAGGATGCTTCCTGTCTTGTCCTTCTCAATGAGGTAGATGAGGAGGCGCCCATCTCCTCCCTTCATCTGGCACCATCTCTCATCCACAGGGGCCACCAACATTCTCACCGTTTGGCTGCAGGAATTGCTACAGTTCTGACTCAGCGGTCCGGTCCCAAAAGCCTTGCACTCGGCACAATCCCTGCACAACAGATATGCAGGGTTTTTTTTAAACTGGGGGCTTTTATTTACTCTTGCTTAGCATAAAATATGCCCCCCCACACACACATCCAGACACCCAAACACTGCTAGCACCAATGGAGAACAGTTTGATCACCCGGGCAGTTACTGCAGCGAAATGTGATTCAATCAGTTGGTGATGGGGAGTGGGAGATTTTTTTCAGATTCCTTTTTTATATCATGAATCCCTGGTGGCAAAGATGAGCACGTGTTCTGAAGGTGGTTTTAAATTTGATTTGCCTGAAGTTGTAAACTCTGATTAAGACCATCTATAAGTCTGATGATAAACAAGCATATATACATACAAACCTAAAAGGGGCAGATTTTTAGCTCGCATAATTATAATTTGGAACAATACTATATGATCACACAGAAAAAGTTCCTTCTCTAATGAAGCTCTTAATGATCCAATTTGCTTATTAAATGGGGTGAGAGTTACTAACATAAACTGAAATGCAAGCTGATACAGTGTCATGAAGACCCAGTTTGTGGGGGCAATAAGCTGACTTTGTATAAATATACAAAATTTTGAAGGCTATTGCTTAACGCATTGTAAGCCGCCCTGAGTCTCCGGAGAAGGGCGGCATATAAATCAATTTTTTTAAAAAAATGATTCATTTAGTGACCATCCAAAGTTATAATGACACTGTAAAAAGGGACTTACAACCAATCCTAGTCCTCACACTTACTACCACTGCAGCATCCCCACAATTATGTAACCAAAATTTGAGCACTTGGCAACCGGCATGTGTTTATGAAGTGTGCCCTAGGATCGTGTGGTTGCCATGTCCACTGGTCCAACAAGCCAAGATTATGAGGGAAGCCAGATTTGCTTAACAACTGCATGATTGACTTAAAAGCTGCAGTGATTTACTTAACAACCATGGCAAAAAAAAGATTATAAAAATCAGGTGTGACTCACTTAACAATCACCTTGCTTAGCAATGGAAATTAATAGAATAGAAATAGAAATAATACCATGTTTCCCTGAAAATAAGACCCTGTCTTATTTTATTTTTTTTTTGAACCCTGAAATAAGCGCTTGGCCTTATTGTCATGTGCTCAAAAGCCCGATTGGGCTTATTATCAGGTGATGTCTTATTTTGGAGGAAACAGGGTATATTAGTAGAATAGAAAATAGTGGAGTGGAGGAATGGGAATGGGAATGGAATTGGAATCGAATCGAATAGAATCGAAGAATAGAATCGAATCAAATAGAATAGAATAGAATAGAATAGAATAGAATAGAATAGAATAGAA